TGTTCTTAGACGTCTATTAGATTTTCACTGGCAGGACAAGATTAGCTTTGTTTTAGCCAAGACGACTATGTTTAGACGTCGATTAGACATCTATTAGACGTATTTTAAAACAAGGCTAAAATTGGTCTGTCAGTGAAAATCTAATAGACGTCTAAGAAAAGCCCAAAACTAGACTAGTCGTCAAATAAACAGACAGACTATATACGTGTAGTCGTTCATTTCTGTTTATTTGATAACTAGTCTAGTTTTGGGCTGTTCTTAGACGTCTATTAGATTTTCACTGGCAGCCCAACCTTAGCCTTGTTTTAGCCAAGTTGACTGTTTAGACATCTATTAAAAACAAAACATGCTTGCTGGGCACGCACGCACACGCACACGCACGCACACGCACACGCACGCACACGCACACACGCACGCACACGCACACGCACACGCACACGCACACGCACACGCACACACACACACACACACACACACACACACACACACACACACACACACGAGACGCCCAACTGTGCAAAATGTTCCTACTAAAACTATTCGAGCAAACTGTAAACACACAATGGGGGCTACGATAGATCTAAATTACAAAGCACTGTAATGAACTGGACTTATAATTAAAAAATAAAATTAAAACAGATAAAATGAAGCGTCAAATTCATTCCACAATAGAGGAAGGAAAAGAAAAACAACTAAAAATTAGACACCTGTAAAAGGCACATTCATGGAGGTGTTCTAACTGGATAATACTGGAGATCAACACTCTTCAGCCTGATGCTCACTTCTGAGGGTCACTTAAAAGGGCTCCACTTCTCCACAGATGTACTCAAGGATGAGTGTCTGTTAGAAAGACTACCTAGAAAATAACAGAGGAGGGGGGAAAGGTCTCAGAACAAACAATGCATTTGGACTAGTGTACAGTTCATGTATAAAGTTCGTCCAATCAAAACATTCGATCCGAACATTACGATGACCTCTGTGTTAAAATATGTAATTGCGTTCGTCTATGATTTATTAGTCCCTCTGTATACCCCCCCCCTTATTTTATCTGTCATGATGACAGCACATAATATTAGACTAGATATTTAATAATATATTTAATATTTAATAATAATATTAGACTAGACACTAATATTCAGCTTAAAGTGACATTTAAAGGCCTAATTAGGCAAGTTAGGGTAATAAGGCAAATTATGATAATTTGTTCTGTAGACAATCAGAAAATATTGTTTAAGGGGTCTAATAATATTGATTTAATTTTTATTTATTCTGGCCGAAAAAAAAAGACTTTCACCAGAAGAAAAAATATTATAGGAAATACTGTGAAAAAAATCCTTGCTCTGTTACAACATAATTTGGGAAATATTTTTTAAAAATCTAAATAAATTCACAGGAGGGCGAATAATTCTGACTTCAACTATATATCTATCCCATTATTACTATTAGGCTTTTGAAAATACAACGGATTGCTAGCATTATTTTATTGTCATTAATGTAAAGTAATCATAGTACTTTTTAAGGTTTAGTTTTAATAGTAATTGTTTACATATTTTACATAAGGGGCTGTAGAATGCTCAACTCCGATTGGCTGATGAGCACTTTAAGGCAGTGGTTCTTAAAGTGGGGGTCGGGACCCCCCGAGGGGTCGCAGGGCAATGAAGGGGGGGTCACCTGGTGATTTCCAAAAATCTATTTATTTTTATTAAACCATAAGAATTAACATATTTTATCCATAACTATACTGAAAATAAAAATAGTCGTTTATAGTTACTATATACTATATAGTTACTATAGTAGCTTATAGTTACTAGTTCTATTGGATTGCGACCCCTGGGGTAATTACATTATATTAAAGGCAGCAATAGCGTCAGATGCATTTTGATTTTATAACATCAGGTTATACTTTCTGGCACATTTACAGCACTGACTCAAATTTAATTGGTGTGTCTGCGTCATTGCATGCAAGGTTTCTGTATTTATAACCACCTCAGAGGATATTGGGGGTCGCGAATCACTGGCATTGTTATTTTGGGGGTCGCAGGCTGAAAAGTTTGGGAACCCCTGCTTTAGGGCATGCCGTTGTTTATAGGCACAGCTAAAGTAGTTCCGGCAGGTTTTGAGCGCATTACAGCTCCAGATCACTTCTACACTACACTACTGAATGATTTCAGTGATTTCACAGCTACAACTAGGTCTGTCACAATATCAAACTTTTTTGTTGTACGATACATAGCGATACACGATATAATCGTCATTTTAAGACCATTTTATGCACCCAGAATGACTAAATAATATCTTCACAGTGCGAGTACACTCTTCAACAGAACACAATGTTTTATTCTTACGAATATTTCATTTAATCATAGTAATTTAACAGTTTAATGATCAGTCATTGGAGTCAGAATGTGAAAACGCATATCCTAAATCAATAATAATAAATGTTAACAAGATAAGAGTAACAGAGGCTGTGATATCTGCAACCAGATCTATTTTCGGTCGTCAGACACCCACATGAATATATACTATAGTCATTTATAGTAAATATTATAGACATACTGACACTGAAACCTCCAATAGAGATAGAGATGTTGCGCAATCAGCTAAAGTGTTGCTAGAATGGTTTTTTATGCACGGGCGATATATATTGCATCACCAAAAATGATTAAGCTCATGTCCATGTGTTGTGCCATAAATCCATATATTGATTATTGTGACAGGCCCAGCTACACTGCAAAAAAGCTTTTACTTAGATTTTTTTGTCTTGTTTCTTGTCCAAATATCTAAAAGTTCTAAAATCAAGAAGCATTTTTTGGACAAGCAAAACTTATTGTCTTTTTTAAGAAATAATATGCCAAAATTAACAGTTTTTCCTTAAATCAAGCAAAATATTCTGCCAATGGGGTCAGCAGAATAATCTTATCAAAAATCGAAAAATAAGATTATTTTGCTGACCTCACTGGTAGATTATTTTGCTTGATTTGTCGATTAAATTTGTGGCTAAAAGGTATCGGTTCAGGCACCGTTTTGGCACCGGTACCATTTTAAAAGTATCGATTTAGCACTGGTATCGAAAAAACCCAAACGATACCCAACCCTATTTAAGAATTTGTAGATGTTTGGACTAGAAACAAGACAGAAATCTAAGTAAGAACAGCATTTTTCCCAGTGTACAACAGTCAAATATCCAATCAAAACACAACAGAAGACTTTAGATGAGATGATAAAAGAAACTAGTGCTACACACAGGAGCAGTTTGAGGACAAAATTATGACAAAAGTCTAAAATACCTGTGGGAACCATAGGATAAGCAGAAAAACTTATTAATCCATTGAATTATTAGAAAACAAAGCACATCTGAGGTGTGTGTATATCACTCCATTGATATTTTGGCGGTGTGCTTTGGGAGACAGGTTTTCTCCAAACGTAACACTTGGTATTTACTCCAAAGAGTTCAATTCGAGTCTCATCAGACCAGAGAATTTAGTTTCTTATGGTCTGGGAGTGCTTCAGACGGCAACTTCCAGGCGGGGAGCAGCTTCCGTCTGGCCACTCTACCATACAGGCCTGATTGGTGGATTGCTGCACAGATGGTTGTCCTTCTGTAAGGTTCTCCTCTCTCCACAGAAGAACGCTGGAGCTCAGACGGAGTGACCAACAGGTTATTGATCACCTCCCTGACTAAGGCCCTTCTCCCTTGATCACTCAGCTTACATGGCTGGCCAGCTCTAGGAAGAGTCCTGGTGGCTCCAAACATCTTCCACTTACGGATGATGGAGGCCGCTGTGCTTGTCGGGACTTTCAGAGCAGCAGAAATGTTTCTGTAATCTTCCCCAGCCTTGTGCCTCGAGACAATCCTGTCTCAGAGGGCTTCAGACAATTCCTTTGTCTTCATGCTTGGTTTGTGCTTTGACATGCACTGTCAACCCTGGGACCTTATATAGACAGGTGTAGCCTTTTCAAATCATGTCCAATCAACTGAATTGACCACAGGTGAACTCCAATTCAGCTGTTGAAACATCTCAGGAATGATCAGTGGAAACTTTTTATTTGTAATAAATTTGTGACAATTTCAAAAACTCTTTTTTCACATTGTCATTATGAGGGATTGTGTGTAGAATGTTGAGGAAATCAATGAATTTAATCCATTTTGGAATAAGGCTGTAACATAAACAAATGTGGAAAAAGTGAAGCGCTATCAGTACTGTCCGGATGCACTGTACACTCACCGGCTTCAGGACCCAAAATCATCCTTTTGGCTTTCCTCTTCTTCCTCCTGTCCTGATGAGGACTTTCCTAAATAAGCACAAACAACAACAGATCCACTGAGCTTCATTTTCTACACCAAACTACAGTATTAGCACATAATGATAACTTGTAAAAACTTGTAAGAGTAGTGAAATGACACTAATCGCACATACCACCCTGTCCCTGTCTGATGCAGGACTTCTTTGGTAGGTGTTTGGAGAGGATTCTGCAAAAAAACACCACCACATTGATGACTTTATTTATGATAAACACAATCACTAGGTGAATCCCATTAGATCTGATAAATGCTAACACATACTATACACCTGATTTAGTCTTAATAAGTCTCGTACAATAGGTTCATACACACCAAAGCTAATAATATAACAACAATAATATTAATTTATTCATTTTCTTTTCAGCTTAGTCCCTTATCGCCACAGCGGAATGAACCGCCAACTTATCCAGCATATGTTTTTTTTTATGCAGTGGATACTCTTCCAGCTGCAACCCATCATTGGGAAACACCCATACATTCTTAAAAAAGTAATTAATAATCATAATAATAGCAAAATAATCAGATTTTTTGTTTCGACGTAAGATTATTTTGCTTGTTTTAAGGGGAAAACTTACTTAATTTGCACATATTATTTCCTAAAACAAGACAGTACGCTTTGCTTGTCTAGAAAATACTTCTTGACAGAGGAATTTTGAGATATTTGGACTAGGAACAAGACAAAAACTTTAAATAAGAACTTTTAGCTGTGTTCCCACTTACTGTTTTTCCAATATATTGATTCGGCCATACTACTCAGTCCGCATACAGTATTTAATGTATTGTATAGTAGGGAAGTATGCAGCCAATGACTCCATTGATGTACATCATGATTTTTGAAATGTTGCCAACCAAACAGCTAGATTACACACTACATGAGAGGTAATATCAGGTATTAGGGTCATATAATGTAATGATGAACTCGGTCACCTATAGACTTGGACAGCAGACAGTCTCTCTTGATGTGAGAGTTGGAGCCGCACAGAAAACAGCATCTCTCCTCTTTCTGCCTCCACCGTGTGTCTTTATACGGGCTGCCGTCTGTCATTACTTTGCTGGATCGGTTCATGTCACGGCCACTGAAGAAACCATCGGGATTATCACGTCTTTGCCTTCATTTGAAACAAATTTAAAAAAAAAAATCCATAAACAAAATCTTGGTGTTTGGTTATTAATACAGTATTTATGTATCGCATATGTAATGCTCTCATTTTCAGATGTCACAACAGATGTAGAATTGTATAATTACACTATATGGAGACTTGATGGTTGAATAAAGAATGTATTAAAATAAAATAAAATACATAAAATGTAGCTATAAGCATACAAAATCTTATTAAATAAGGATTTATACATGCAAAGTTAAAAAAATCTAAGAATTTTTTTAATGTCTCTTGTGTCCACCAAACCACAAAAGAGTAATAATGTGAAATAATATTACAATTCAAAATAACCATTTTTTTGGTCATATTTCAAAATGTGTTTTATTACTTATTACTTTATTAATTTTCAGCATTGTTACTGCAGTTTCAGTGTCACTTGATCCTCCAGGAATTATTTTAATTGCATAATAATAATAATTTTGAAAAAAGTTTTCTGATATTAATGTTGAAAACAGTTGATTCACATTCATGGCACTCATTCGCATTTTGTGAAAAACATAATATCCTTGAGATTGCTGAATCCTGCTAAATGCAGAGTCCTTGGTAAACTAAATAAATTATGCATTATTTTTATTTAACTATAAAGGTGATTTTCTCAATATTTACTTTTAAATAAAACAAAATTAATTTATAAATACATTCAAAAAAATTATTACAATTTTATCTATTAAAATTAAATTAAACTGTAATTAATTTAAATGAAATAACAATTATTTTTAATTAGCTTAATTTTTTATCAACTTTAAAGGTGATCATCTCAATACTTAATTCAAATAAAATTAAATTAAATAAATACATTTTAAAAAATAAATAAAAATCAATCAATAAATTAATCAATCCATCCAAAAAAATCCTGAAAAGACAAAAACAGTCTCTAGTTGCATTTGTATATTTGTGGGAATTGCCAACAATACAATGCATTGCAATGAGTCAAATTTATAGATTTTTATTTGATGCCAATAATCAATAAAGATCCTCCTCCAAGAAGAAATTCAGAAAATGAAAATTTTTTGATTAACTTTAAAGGTGATTTTTCTATATAGTTAGATTTGAGATTCCAGATATTACAGCCAAATATTTGATATTACAGCCAAATATTGTCCAACAATAAGAAACCATACATAATAGGAAAGCTTATTTATTCAGCTTTCATATGCTGTATACATCTCAAAATAAGCCTTTCGTCCACAAATATCTTCACATTTGCAGCAGCAAATTTAGAAATGATTAGTCAAAATGTAAAAGCACTACAAGTATTAAATTTAAACAGAAAAAAAAGTATTATCATGTCCTATAGTGCCGAATTACCTCTTCCTCATCGGACAGTCTTTCATAAAATGGCCAATCTTCCCACAGATACGGCAGCAGCGGTCATTGGGTGCAAGTTTTCCCTCAGTGAGCACTTCTGGGTCAAAGAAATACTCCTGCAAACATTCAAATCTTCAGTACGATAAATCAACTCGAATACAGCTGACAGCATCAGGGGTGGAGACAAACCATTTTATTGGAGTAATCTGGAGGAAACACTCGGACGGGAGAGCCGAAAACTCTGCGGGCATTGATGAAGGCCTTCATGATGAAACTGGCCACTGGAAAACACACGTCCAGATCAGATACACAGGGAACAAAATATTTCCTAAATGATGTTGAGGAATTTTTCCACAGTATTTCCTATAATATTATTTCTTCTGGAGAAAGTCTTTTATTTAGTCTTTTTATTAAGTTTTATTTCGGCTAGAATAAAAGCAGTTTTAAGGTCAGTATTATTAGCCTCCTTAAGCAATATTTGTTTTCGATTTTCTCCAGAACAAACCACTGTTATACAATGACTTGCCTAATTAACCTAGTTAAGTCTTTAAACATCACTTTAAGCTAAATACTAGTTTCTAATTGGATATTTTGTAGCTATTTAAGAAAGTGCCCTTTTATTTGTTTTTGAATATTGTTTAGGTTAGTTTGTTAATTAAAAAGGCACAATATGTAGGACATTTGTCATTAAAATATCCAAAAACAATGATTCCAAATTCTCTAAAAAAAAATCCCAACAATATTCAATATGTACTCATATTGTCCTAAATTTTTGTAAGAACATTCAAATGTAAAAAAATAAGCACTTTTAACTAGTGTTCGGAGTGTGTGTTCATGCTAATGACATGTCACACCCTCAATTTTCGGTTTGGTTTTCTAGAAAACAGGGAATCAGCAGCGAGGCTTTACTATGTTGTGTTTTATTCGACTGCACAGAGCAGCATTATAAGCCTAAAATGTATTTAGTCTGATAAAAAGAGAGCTGCTAACTGTAGTATTGGTAACCTAGCAACCAACAGTAAACAAGGCAAGAATAATGGAGCTCGCTATGTTAAAGTCTGCATGGACCAGAAGCTGCGACAGTTTAGTTTTTTTGTATTGTGACGCAGTTCATAGAGAAACGGAATATTAAATAGAAAAGCAGTGGGCGTGGCTTGCTTTTAAACTGCTAGCTGATTGGATGTAGTAAACTAGGCGTTTCATTCATAAAGATGGGAAAAAAGGGTTTGTGGAAAGTTATTACAACCTAACAGACTCCTCCTCCTCACCCATTTCTGTTCGTCAAAACTGACAGCTGCAGGGGTGTGGTTAAGTATGTTAGCCACGCCCAATACCTCAAACAGACTTAATCTGAGAATTTAACTGAAAACAAACAGGAAGTGCATTTTCAGATTTCAATGAAACATTACAAGGGCAAACTATTGTTTTTCCTCATATTGACATGTACAGATGAATTGTTTAGCACAAAACTAGCAATGTGAGCTAACAAAATCAATATGTTTATTTTAGATTTTATGTGGACTTTAATGCTGTGTTCAAACCAGACGCGGAAAGCGCTGAGAAATCGCGATATTCGCGCGTAAATAGCCGCATGAACATTTGAGGTTACTCGCTTCATTCGCGCGTCAAACCCAGCTTCATTCGCGAGTCAAATTCACTTCAGAACAGACGCGAATTCACGTGATGGGCAGGGCTTCTGTCTGCCCGGTGACTCTAGCTTCATTGCTAAATGGCTTGTTAAGTGGTGACGTGTTTGTGACGTATTTAATACTGTTTCCGGGTCCAAGCCGACATTCATTTGAGTGTTTATGATCACGTTTTATTCCTATCACACATTAAAGTAAATTTTATATAGAATCATAGTGTACACAACAATCTCTGGGCTTGCTGCATAACAAATACCAAAAATTTAACAATTTATAAAAAAATAATCACTTTCTGGCCGTCGGATATTAGGCATGGACATATATACTGTGATAGTGATTTTCGAAAGCATTAAATCGCTTTGTAAAAGTTTATTATTACCATTTCACGAGTCTCCCCATTCAGTTGAATAGAGCGATTGGACCCGGAAGCCGCTTCGTCTGACGTCACACTTAACAAGCGGATTGGTTAACGCGGAGCGAATGTCCGCTGAAGTTCAGATTTTCAAACTCTAGTGATTCAAGTGAAATGCGCGTTAAGCACGTCAAACGCACAAAACACTCAATTGGCATCACGCCATTGGTGCGCCATTTACACCGCACCATTCGTGCAATTCGCAGGATGTCTATTCACGCGTTTGCATTGACTTAACATGTAAATCACTCGCCTTTGAAGCGCGTTCCGCGTCTGGTGTGAACGCAGCATAAAAGTTTATTCAGAAAATGCGTTTCCATGTCCCGTTATTGACATTAACCTTTTACAAAGTCTAAAACCACCTCAAGTGATCGTAAAAGATTTTTGTTTTGCGAATTAAGGGATTTTTATTAAAAATTTGGCACTTGAATCACTTGTTTTCTCAATGCGATACTCCAAAATGTACAACAACACAGGATGATGGAAACCCAGCTAGATGCAATGCAACAGTCAAAACTAGAGCTTTAATAAAGGATAACACATGCAGTGTAAAATAAAAATAAAAAAATTAAAACGTGACTGACTTCTCCGGGACAGACCAGCTCCAAGGTTATGACTCAAGTCGAACGGATCTGAAAGAAGAAAAACACAAAAGATCAAATACAATCCAATATGTATTAATAGTCATGCGTGTTAATATTATTATAGCACATCCATGCTGCTGTAAATACAGTGAAAAGCAACATCAAAAAGATAACTAAAGTCAGCAAGGAATTTGTAGTCATTGAAAACAAAACTGATTCTAAAATGAACACTTAAGTTAGAAGTTACCCTAACTTGCCTAATTAACCTAGTTAAGTCTTTAAATTGCACTTTATGCTGAATACTAGCATCTACTAAAACAATTAGTAAAATATTACACACTGTCACTTTGTCTTCGCATTATTCTTTACAAATGTATATTTTCAGGTCACTTTTGACAAGTCTGTTTTGTTTTTACCCTCGATGGCGAGGTGTTTGGATGTCCACTGCTTCTTGAAGGTGCTGAGCGGCTCTTTTCTGCGGATACAGATCACAGACTCCCTGAAGTCGAAGGTCTCAGTGTAAAACTGCAGCAGGCCGAGCCACAGCTCACCCACCGACTCCCGGTTCTTCTTGTACTCCGGCCAGTGTCTGTGCTGAGGAATCGACAACAACAACCCACACTCATCAACTACTACATCAGATGGACAAAGCATGCCTGCCAAAGAATTTCAGGAAACAGTAGCACAGACAGTTAAAGGAAAAAATAAATAAAAGTATTCAATTATTAGCTCTCCTGTGAAATTTTTATCCTTTTAAAAATATTTGCTTAAAAAAAATAGGTGTTTTTTCGTGGAGAGATGATTTTTAAATAATAGTTTTAATAATTAATTTATTTCAGCATTGAGACCGCGCATATTTCAGCTTAAAGGTTTGTTCTGCGGACAATCAAAAACTTTATTTCTTAACGGGGTTAATAATATATATATTTTTTTAATTAAAAACTGCTTTTATTCTAGGCAAACTAGAAGAAAATGACTTTACTCCAGAAGAAAAAATGTTATAGGAAATACTGTGAAAAACTCCTGAATCTGTTCAACATCATTTGGGAAATATTTGAAGAATAAAAATTTCAAAGGAATCATTTTTAGCTGAATGATTCATTCATACTTTTCTAAAGATGTTTTATAACCCTTATCAACACTTTTAATATATATATATATATTTAATAAATACTTCGTAATTTTCATCTATTGCATGCATTATTCCAGTTTTCAGTTTCACAGGATCATTCAGAAATCCCTGTAATATGTTGGTTTGCTGTTCAATGAGTAACTACTATTGTAAGAATGATAAATATATTTATATTAGTCAATAAAAGCTTATTTTTCTATATCATTAACACCAGTCAATAATAGAAATAATAATATTAATAATAATAATATATAATAATAATAATATCTTCAATAATAATAAATATTAAATATAAATCAAGCTATTTTTATTGGCTAAACCTAATTCAGACATGTGCTGCTGGGTATTTTTAAATTCCTTGATTTCTACATTTAAGGTTTTTAAAATAAAATAATGTATCCAGTGTATCTGTATGCGTTTTGTTTTATACAGTTATAATGGTATTTATTAGCCTCAAACATGTATATCATTTATATTTATTCTTAATATTCAAGTAGGTTATTGACAACAATTATAAAGGTTAATATCAGTATTAGTCAAAAATGTATATTATCAATACTGGTCCAATAAGAAAATCAGGTCATTTTTACTGGGTAAACCTAATTCAGATGCATGAGGGGTTTTGACATAAAACAACAACAACAATTTGTAAATAATTTTGTGAACAAAAAGATCTTAGTAAATTCCTTCTTTTCTGCATTCAAGCTATGCTTTTTGTTTTATATTTTTATACTGTAATTTATTAAACTCGAAAATATGTACATCAAAACTTTTATATTTGTCCTTAATATTTAAATAGGTTATTGGCTACAAATATAAATGTGATTATCAGTATTTGTCCATTTCAATTTACATGCATCGCTATTTACTGATTATTATTATTAGTAGTAGTTCTTGTTATTAATATCGAAAGGTTTTTCCTTTTGCTGAGAAGAATTGAAAAGCAATTATTTGAAACAGAATTTTTAATAACATCACATTTTTTTAAACCAAGTTTTTCTTTAGCCTAGACTTGTGGCAATCTATTAAGGAGTTTAATAAAATATGAAGCAACTGTTTTCGACATCTAGTCAAAATGATAATAATGATGATAATAATGTTTCTTGAGCATCACTTTCAAAATATCCAAGCATTTTTAAAAACACTCCTCCATGCACTGTTGTCTTACCAAGTTCTTCAGATCCTTAAAGAAATACACATCCCAGCCGTCGACAGGGACCACCGGCTTCTGCTTGCCATCATAGATCTGCAAACACACAAGCAGCAAAACACAGCTGTACTGTTTATGATCTACTGAATGTTGAGTTCAAATACAAAAACATGACATTTTCTTTTATAATGGGCATTCGTCTGTGCTTAAATTCAGTAATCTTAATATTATAGCTAAGAATAGATTATTTTCATAGCCTGTAAAGTGGAAAAACTCCACATAAACATAGGAGAAATGTTCATTTGAGAAGACATTTTTATATTTGACCGCTTTATATGCAAACGAAAATTAATAATCTTTTAAGTGCCCTGTTTAATATGCTGTATTTATAGTTTATGCTGAAATATATCAAGGGGTATCCACCTTATTTTTCAGGTAAGACACTTAAAATGTGACTTATTATGCAAAAATTAGGTTTATAAGGGGTTTAAGGTGGTGTTAAAGAGACCAACAGGAGGCGCTCAACCTGTGGTCTGTGTGGGTCCTAACGCCCCAGTATATTGATCTGGACTGCTCAGTGAGCGTCTTTCGGATGAGATGTTAAATTGAGGTCCTGACTCTCTTTGGTCATTAAAAATCCCAAGATGTCTAATATATATATATATATATATATATATATATATATATATATATATATATATATATATACACACACATATATATATATATATATATACACACACATATATATATATATATATATATATATATATATATACACATATATATATATATATATATATATATATATATATATATATATATATATATATATATATATATATATATATATATATATATATATATATATATATATATATAAAACATGCTAATCTCATCATTTAATATTAGGAATAAATACACCAAAATAAAAAACAATCTTTTTTTTTCCTAAATCTATCAGCAGTACAGGGAATGTTTATGTGTATACTTTAACATTTGGATGTTAAAATTTGATGTCAAGCTCGAAATGATTAAGCATAAAGTGTCATGAAGTGTCTTGTAAACACAGTGGGTGTGAAACATTATCTTTTCAGAGCAGGAGTGGGCTGTAGCTATCATTATTAAAAGGCATTCGTTTTAGCACACGAGACGAGAGCACATTGTAACAGCTAAACTATGAACGAAAAGTGTTGTGATGCACCATGCAGTCATAACAAATCCAAATACAACTTATTTAACATCTTGTACAGTTCAAAACAGTGTATAAGATGATGCACTAGCTGTGTTTAATGATTTAATAAAATGCATGAGCAAACAAGGATCTGTCATAAACTTTTCAATGCAAAAAAATTCTTAATGAAAAAATAATGCTCTATTGCAAAGATTGATCTGGACTTCCACAAAACACTGTTTGGACATATAAACACGCTTATCTCCTCACCAGAGTATTGTACAGGCTTATATCTCCTTCTAGTCCAGTTTTGGTGTGGTAAAACTTCACAATTGGGACTTTCGCTGTAGTAATAGGAAGGATGTTTCTCAGGCCTGAAATCAATGAATAAATAAACACGGCAGAGGAAAAGAGATGTGGTTAAAACCAATACATTTTACCAACATACACTTTAAGGGGCCTAAAATGTCTCAAAAATGAACTATTTAATTCATAATTAGCGAATGAAATGAGTTTCTGTCCCTAATATTCATGTAAAAAGCAGGTCACTGTGAAACTACAACCTGAACACTGAAACTGAGGCCTTACCGTGGTGTTTGCGCAGCGCTTTAGCAAGACTCTCAATAATAGCCATGGAGTCCAAGCCCTGTCAGAGGATAATGATAACATAATGAACATATATTCAATATAGCAATAAAAGCGTTATATTCCTGCACACACGCTGCATAGATTAGGGTTTTGCAGTCCATTTGCTTGGAATGGTACACAAAAAATAAATATATATATATATCCGTAAATTAGCATTTTTCCGTATTTTGTAATTTTTTTTTTTTTCCCTGCTTATTTATGATTTTGAGTTGCATTATGTAATCTTGATCGTTCTTCCAACAACTTTTAACCTTGAAAAGTTACAAATAAACTTTTATTAACATGTTTGATAGTTTGCAGTGCTATATTGTCCTGGTTGGTGTTGTATATCATGCCAGCGGTCCTTAAAAAAAACCAGGCCGTGGACTGGTACCGGTCAGTGGATCAATTGGCACCAGGCCGCACAAGAAATCATTAATTATTTCCTTTTATTTATAATCAGAGTGTTAACGATCTATTATTTTGCAAAAACTGTCACTTGAGTGCCCAAATTTAACCCACGAGCAGCAAAATGAGTAAGAAACAGACGTCTTTGGAAGGTTTCATTGCTAAGGGGAAAATGCAGTGAACGACCCACGAACTGCCAAGGAATAGATCCGCAACCCATTTGTAAACAAATCATGTGAATCCAGCACAAATCTACAGTTTGCACAAGTTCATTGCACCCAAAGGAAGTGCGCGGCACGCTCGCACCTTCCAGACGCACACAGTTGAATGACACAGAACACAAAAACACAGTGCCTTTTGAATTTTGAATTTTCTCCCTAAAAAAAAAGAGTTACAGCAATGTTTTGTCAGCTTGTCATTCTCTAAGAAAACAGTTAATGGTCAGCAACCTACACCCCCCCACCCAACAACATTAACCCTACAATGGCTGTTCAATAATGATATAAACAGACAATAATAGTAGATTAGAAAAGAGTAAATAAGAATATAATTAACTTCACATTTTTGCTTTTTATATCCAATAATATGACAATACAGATCCAAATTTAGTTTTTAGGACAGTTCATATATAATTTGATGTTTAACAGATTCAGGAATTTCTCACAGTATTTCCTATTATATTTTTTCTTCTGGAGAAAGTCTTTTTTTTTTTACTTCGGCTAGAATAAAAGCAGTTCTAATTATTTTTTAAAGCATTTCAAGTTCAATATTATTAGCCCCTTTAGGCAATATTTGTTTTGGATTGTCAACAGAGCAAACCAGTTATACAATGACTTGCCTAATTAACCTAGTTAAGCCTTTAAATGCCACTTAGGAGTATTTAGTCAAATATTATTTACTGTCTTCATGGCAAAAATAAAATAAATCAGTTATTAGAAATGAGTTATTAAAACTGTTATGTTTAGAAATCAGTTGAAAAAAAGTATCTCTGTTAAACAAGGGGGCTAATAATTCTGACTTCAACTGTATTTATATAAATTAATGTAACTACATATATATATATATATAAATATATATATATATATTATATATATTAGTGATTGCACTTTACCATTGCTGTGTCGTGGCCTTCTAAAGTCATGCAGATGTCCAAATCACTCTGTTTAAAGCCAAAGCCATTTTTTGATGAGCCAAATAAAACCAACTTTGCTCCTGTCGAAACAAAATACATCAACAAATAAGCTTTAAAAAGGCAAGGCAAGTTTATTTATATTAAACACAATGGCAAATGCTTTGCATAACCAAGAATAAAATCAACATAAATTACAAGTACAAGAAATAAAAACAGCAAAGATTAAAAACAGAATGAAATGTGTTTTAACGGAATGAAAAAGAAAAAAACAACACGAAACGGCACAAATTCAAGTAGACGGATGTAGGCATGGACCGGTATAAGATTCTGGCGGTATGATAACCTTGGATAAAATTATCACAGTTTCACGTTATTGTGATTACTGCTCTAAAATCTATTCTTTTTAAATGTCTGAGTAAAAAAACAAACCTTTTTCCCCTTGAACACAATATACTTTAATTTGAGAAACATTTAAAGTATTTTGGAGCAGTAAACATGTCAGGCTAAAGAATTCAAATTAATTTTTGACTTCTGCTGTCTTCATTTGTTTTAAATACAGACTTTTTTGCAATTTAAAACTGCAAATTGGAGATGTTTTCTGCTGGAGATACTGCTGTCCTAAATAACCAAAAAAAATGTAAATAAAACAATCTTACTCATACTTTAGAAACGGTATAGCAGAAAATTTTTGCGGTTTTAAAACCTTGACATTTCCAAACCGCGGTATACCGTGAACAAGGTTATCGTACCATGCCTAGACGGACGCCATAATGTTCAACGTAATCTACCAAAGACATTGAAAGATGACAGAACGCAGCTTTACCTGGCACTTGACATCTCAAGAATGACTCAAAATCTTGTAAAATATGTTCTCTGACTTTTAACTCCACGTCATCTGGTGCGAAGTCACCTAAAAAAAAAAACGACAACAAAATGGTTAAAGTAACATTTCCGCTGTTAAAGTGAAGCACACTCCATAATAAATGCAGCTTATTGTTGATAAGCCGTGCTGGGCATTTCACTCTGTCTCAAGCTGAACGCTGTCAACCAATCGTAACCGTCATCGGTCCAATCAGTGCAGATTAACCTCACACAAAGGAGGGGTTTGGCAACAAATGAATCACTGAACGAATCATATGGGAGTTGCTGGGATAAATAGATAAAAATATATGCAGATTATATTTATTAATGAAATTAATTATTATTTTAAATTAATTATTAATTTATTAATGAAAGTGTTTTTTGATTTTGCTTGCATATCAGCCTGTTTTTGGAGACCCTTAAAATCAAAATATGACCCTTTTTAATGTATAATAGGGGCTTTAATAAATCCATATGAAACAGTCCTTTAAAAGTGACGTCATATCTTTAGTTTCACGCTCAGGCGCGCTTTGCGCTCGCACTACAAAGCCCAAACCAAAGCCCAACCGAACCGCGCTCGGGCACACCACCTCCAACAGAGCCACGGGCGATCAACTGAACAGCGCCTGGGCCTGATTCAGAGCACTCACACTTGTCAAACGAACCAGGAAACGTACTTGGGCACGGTTCGGATAGCATAGTGTGGGTGCACCCTAAATATATCTGTAAAGTCTCGCAACAGCATTAATCAAACCTGTATTTCATCCCCTGGTTTAGCTAATAAAGCAACAATAATGATTCCCAGCATACGTACGGTAGCACTGCTCACAGACGTCACTGAGAATCTTCTGGAAGTCTCGAGTCATGGGAGGAAGGCGCTCCAACTCCACTCGCTGGAAGTCTTCGGGACAGTCCTGCTTCAAATGTCCATCGCTCTTACAGACGCCGCAGATCTGAACCGGCGACTAACAGAGAGAACAAACAAACTTCTGAATAGCTAAACGGGCAAATTGATGCTTTCTCATCTATTCAGATGAGAAATGCTGCACATTTACCTTGCCATCAGTGAAAAACCGCTTGTTGAAGACGTAATGAAAGCTTTCGGAGTCTGACTGTGTTCCTGCAGTTGACTCCGCTTTGGTGGACTCTGCTTTGGGTTTGCTAGGGACAGTTTCTGCCTCTTCCGGATCTCCATCAGAGAGTACATCATCGCTCATCTCACGCTCAAAGGGGAAGATCTCATCGCCCGAATGTTCACAGCCAGATTCATCTAGATCCACATCATCATCGTCTTCATCTTCTTCCTCATCTTCACCCTATTGAAGAACACATTTTAATTTCTGCATGCTACTTTTCAGAGACCCCCTCAAATGCAAAAAACGTTATCTTCAGCATTTCACGAAGCAGTTAAGATGAAATTACAGTCTAATCTAAAAATATTTTATTCTTCTTTAATTGACAATTGCTCACAATGAAGAGCGCTTGTGTGTTTGACCTATCGGCTATTAAAAACTAGCCTAGAGTGCCATCTACTGTTAAAAACCAGCCTAGACCACTATCTGCTGTTGAAAACTAGCCTAGAGCACCATCTCCTGTTGAAAACTAGGCTAGAGCGACACCTGCTGTTAAAAACTAGCCTAGAGCACCATCTGCTGTTAAAAACTAGCCTAGAGCGACACCTGCTGTCGAAAACTAGCCTAGAGCAATACCTCCTACCGAAAACTAACCTAGAGCACCATCTGCTGTTGAAAACTAACCTAAAGCGACACCTGTTGTCGAAAACTAACCTAGAGCACCATCTGCTGTTAAAAACTAGCCTAGAGCGATAGCTGCGGTCAAAAACTAGCCTAGAGCGACACCTGCTGTCAAAAACTAGCCTAGAGCGACACCTGCAGTCAAAAACTAGCTTTGAGCGACACCTGCTGTGAAAAACTAGCCTAGAGCAACACCAGTTGTTGAAAACTAGAGCGACGGTGTAGAGCATCACCTGCTTTCGAAAACTAGCCTAGAACCCTGTCCACTGGTAAAAACTAGCCTAGAGCAACGTTTGCTGGTAAAAACTAGCCTAGAGCGCCGTCTGCTGTTCAAAAACTAGCCTAGAGCATCATCTGCTGTTCATAAACTAGCCTACAGCGCCGTCTGCTGTTTAAAAACTAGCCTAGAGCGCAGACTGCTGTTAAAAACTAGTCTAGAGCACCATCTACTGTTAAAAACTAGCCTAGAGCCGACAGCCTAGAGCGACACTTGCTGTCAAAAACAATCCTATAGTGCAGTCCACTGGTAAAAACTAGTCTAGAGCAGCTGTCTGCTGTTAAAATCTAGCCTAGAGCGCCGTCTGCTGTTAAAAATGAGCCTAGAGCACCATCTGTTGTTAATAACTATATTAGAGCACCATCTGCTGTTAAAAACTAGCCTACAGCGCCATCTGCTTTTAAAAACTAGCCCAGAGCGCCATCTGCTTTTTAAAAACTAGCCTAGAGCGCCTTCTGCTGTTAAAACCTAGCCTAAAGCGCCATCTGCTGTTTACTATACTAGCCTACAGTACATAATTCTTACTACAGTAAACTGGTATACAGTAGCAGACGATTACAGTATTGGGTCATTTGTTTATTTTCCTATTGTTGTTGTGTTAGCATAGCATAAACAAAATGATCACAGATTAATTCCAGTACTTTACTACATACGTAAAACTATGGTTCAAAAACAATGACCATTTACTATAGTATTTTTTCATGTGGATCAATATCGGCACACCTCACTGTCCTCGTCCTCCTCATCGTCCTGCTCGATCAAGCAGTCTGAATCCTCCAGATCTTCAGCACTGTGTGGACTGGATTTGACACGAGGCCCGTTCAGACCCTCAGATGACACTTTTGCGCTCTTCTTCACTGAATCAGCATGGTTCACACTCACAGATCGACTGCTTGTGCTCATTTTCCCCGCTGTGCTTTTTGAAGGAGAAGCAAAGTACTTGTAAGTTGTTTTGAGGCAATGCAACAAATAATCAAACATCGTCTGACTGTTCAACGTCCGAGCCACGTTCCTCTGGACGGTGAATGGATCTGAGAAGAAAACAAAGACAAACATTACACTATACACTTATTGAATACATAAACAAATACTATAGTACAAATACTAGTGTTTTTAAACCAGACTGTAGCACATTTTATTATACAACAGTTCTGTCTGGTTCTTGAATCCGATTGGCTGATAGCTGTGCGGTATTCTGCAAATAACAGCACTCGTTAAGCTTCTTAAGTCTTCACCCTTGTGTGTTACTCCGCCCACATAGAGCAACAAGCAGAGGACACTCTACAGTTTGACAGCTGTTGGACAACAATGTACTTTCAAGGCTTTTTAAGTCGAGAATGTAGTTGTTTAGACCAGGGGTTCTCAAACTTTTCAGCCCGGGACCCCCAAAATAACAATGCCAATGACTCGCGACCCACACTATTTTCGGAAGTGGTTATAATCATATAAAAGTCTTACACAAACTAATAGACTTACATAAACACAAGCATATTGACAGCACAAAAAAAACGCAACAGTCTAACAACCATATCCTTTTTTATTATTATTATTATTTAATATTAACCACACTTAATGAGACTGGTGGGCATGTTGTTAGCATTTAAATAAACTGCTATCGCTAATTTAAATGTGTCTTTAACATGCTTAAATGTAACTAACACCAATTACCATGTCCCACAAAACATTAGCATGTTTTAATACATTAAACGCCGATACCATATTTTGCTTTGCTAATATGAAGTAGCATGTTGCTAGCATGTTTCTGATACATTGCTAATAAATGTTAAAATGTTGTTACATGTTGCTTCCATATTTTGCTTTGCTAATATGAACTAGCACGTTAATAACTAGCACTGCTAATAAATGTTATTGTATCGTTTACATGTTTAATGTGCCTGACATTTATAAACGCGTTACTAGCATGTTTAATAGGTTGCTAGCATTCTTTTAGCATGATTCGGCATGTTTTTTAGCATGATTTCTCAAGCCAAGATGTGATCAGTACCTTCTATTGCAATCCTCTTTTTGGGCCAGTCTTTTAGATCCCGCCACAGCTCTCCGTTTGTGCGCACGCTAATGATTTTCTCAGGTATTTGGAATTCCAGTGCGTAATACCGTAGCAGCTCAATCCAAAGCTTTCCTAACAGCACAGGACTTCGGCTTTTGAAAGCCAGCGGAGCCTGTTAGAAAGATAAATCAAGACCAAGTCAAAATACTGACGTAATTTTGTTACGGAAACTAAAATAATGTGTAAAATGTGCTTGGAACATATTGGCTGCTATTGTCAAAAACCCTTACAGCATGGAAAATGCACATTTTATCAGCACAGGCTCACATTTAATTGGAATACAAATGTAAAACATATAAAATGGGAATAATTGGGACCAAACTCACCTTTCCCTTCTTGACGGCTTTGTCTTTATCTAGTGATGAATCATTTGTTTGGTCATAAACCCAAAGCACGTGTCCTTTTTCAACCCCGGTTAGGGAGAAACTCTTGAGTTTACTCAAGGGAAAACCCTAAAACAAGAAACAGCATCAGTCTCATCATCTCATGACGGATGCTTAACAAGAAACAAATCCTAAACTACTTAAAACAAAACGGCATAATGCATAACAGCAGTTTATATGTTGTATTTTAAAGCTAGAGTTTTCATATATTTATACAACAGTTCTGCCTGGTTCTTGAATCTGATTGGCTGACAGCCGTGCAATATTCTGCCATAACAGCACTCGAACAGCCTCTTAACCCTTGTGTATTACTCCACCTACATACAGCGACAAACAGAGGAATAATCTCACTACAGTTTGACAAATATTGCAGCTGTTAGACAACATAATGTATTTTTAGGCTTTTTTTAAAGTCGAGAATGTAGTTGTTTAGATGGCATCTATGCAGTTTATTTATAAGGACAGTGCCTATTTTAAAATATTTATAATTTCGGAGCTTCAGCGCATTGGCCGCCATCAGCTTGTCTGAGCAGAGCAAAAAAAGTGACGATTGATGTTCCACCACAAGATGGCGGCAGAGACCGCATAAGTCCTTAGATGGAAAAACAACAGCATTTAGTCAGCGTACGTTTCAAACTACAGCTGATCAAATCATTATAAAACAGGTAAGTGACACTAAGTCGATCTCTCTCTTTTGTATATTGTTGTGCTGTGTTCATACCATAGTAATCTGGTAGTATTTGGTTTGCTTTGGGTTTTTCGGGGTTAACTATTGTGATTTCAACAGGGGAATACTGGAAAATCTCTGTAGACTGATGGCATTTCATGCTGTTCAGCCTTATAATCTTAAATTGAGCAAAATCCCCTGTTTTGTCATCACTTTAGACATTACGCTAGAGAATCATTCAAACATTAGCTCGACAATGACGTTGCTGAATTAGTAATGGCTTCTGCTGTTCTGACGTCAGCTGCAGATGTGAATGAATGGCGGAAGAAAGTAGTTCCTCATACAAAATGGTTTTGAGACTCTCCGTGTTTGATTTTCTTTTTTATATACACGATTATGCCGTCGAACTGTTGTATAAACGCAGTATTAAACGAGCAGCAGTGCCATATGGCTGTATATCATCACTGGTAGAGCACTAAGGCCTTGAGCCAACACACCTTTCACCAGTGCCAATATACAGCCATATCGCACTGCTACTCGTGTGATATTGCTCATATATTATATATTACAATGGTGCAAAAGTTTAGTTAAAACACAATATTATCAGTATTTTGAATACTTTTGCAAACAAAAATTAGTTTGATAAATATTTAAAAAAATTATAAAAACAAAAGATAATGTCATAATTATAATCTTTAAACAATATCAAATCACTTTTATATTTTAATATAATTTTATATAATTGTATATTTATGCAACAGTAATTTACCAACACTCTGAAATTAACAAACATAAGAAGCTTCAGTTAAAACTAATCAAAATACTGGAAGAAAAAACAAAACAATTTTGGCTAAACACAACTGACGTAATATCAAAAAATAAGATTCTTTACTCTCTATGAAGATGCAGTAATAATGCATCAGTCCTACTGTAAAAATAAAACTGATGCATTAATGTTGGACCACACACACACAGACTTGTTCTATATCCTGGTAAGGACTTTCATAGACACAATGATGTTTCTTTCTACTATACAAGCCATATATACTGGGAGCTGCAACTCTCACATGGTCGCCCACTGAAGCTAAGCAGGGCTGTGCCTGGTCAGTACCTAGATGGGAGACCATATGGGAACGCTAGGTGAGACCAGCAGGGGGTGCTCAACTTAATGTCCTAAGTCCCCAGTATATTGATAGGGACTCTATACTGCTGTTTCGTCTTTCGGGTGAGACATTAAACTGACTCTCTGTGGTCATTCTCTTCCAAAAAAAACCCGGCATCCTGGCCAAATGTGCCCACTGGCCTCCTAATTATCCCCATATCATAATAAGCTTCATCTCCTCTCCACCAATCAGCTGGTGTGTGGTTTGGCGCAATATGGCTGCCATCACGTCATCTAGGTGGATGCTGCACACTGGTGGTGGATGAGGAGATTCCCACCAATGTGTAAAGTGCTTTGAGCGTCCAGAAAAGTGCTACATAAATGTAAGGAATTATTCTTAAATTCTCTCCCTGTACTCCTAAACGATCTACATTTCTACATTTAAAATACTTCATTCTTTGTGATTTATGAGCACGTTTACCAATGAGGACCTCAATTTTGGTCTCCACAGTAACACAAGTCCCTATGAGTCTAATGTGCATTCAGGTTTAAGTCCCCATCGGGATATAAAAACAAGTAGACACACACCATAGATTCTAGGTATGTCGGTAAGATGGGCTCCTTGCGTCGCTGCAGGAAACTGATGACCATGAGAGCAAAGCAATATGAAGGGAGTCCACCTTCTTCCATCTGGTCCACACAGCAAATCTAATACACAAAACCATGTACATTATCAACATGCATGAATATATAGAGGTAACATTCTGCACAGTGTATTGGAGTGATGGCTGCTTTCAATACACTGCTTCATGAAGCTTTAAAATGAACAAATCTTGTTTCGAATCAATGGTTCAGAGCACATATCAAATGGAAAAGTTCACGTGATCACAGTAAACAAGACTTCGGTACTTTATTACTGTTGATGAACATATCAAAAATGTAACGGTTCTCCAATTAAGAAGATCAGCATTGTATAAAATCAACATCATTCATGCAGATTCACTTATATTGACCCAAAGTGGTGAATGACTGAGCAGGTTTCAGTCTTCATGAGTCTCACCTTTGCCCAGTATCTGAAGCAAATGACCAGCGGGACGAGCTGAGGCTCCAGATCCGCCATCTCTGACAAATACGCTGTTGTCAAACATGCGCTTTCATTGCCTGCACTCACTTTGCAGATTAGTCCACTGTGATGAAAAGCAAAGAAAAAGTGCACAGAAACATACAATATTATTGTTTTACAGTTAAAGACAATACTATTAGCCCTCTTGTAAAATCATAAGACTTAATAGAGAAAAAGATTTATTAAAACATAACAGTTTTCATAACTAATCATTTCGTTTAGTCTTTGCCAAGATAACAGTACATAATTCTTTGAGCAAGACACTATTGTTCAGCTTAACTAGGTTAATTGGGCTTACTAGGCAAGTTATTGGACAACAGTGGATTGTTCTATAGCCAATAGGGGTGTAACGATACACTCAGCTCAGGATACGATGTGTATCACGATATAATGTTCACGACTCGATATGTATCACGATATTTGGAATAAAAATTGAAAATTAAACAGAAATGCAAATTTTACCAAGTAAACTATTTTTTATGTATTTCTTTTGTTTCAACTTGTTAAACTGAACCTTCTTTAAGAAAATAAATTAAACAGGCCTGTCTCTGGTAAATAAAACAATTTAAAAACTTCTTAAAAATATTATTGAAATGACAGAAACCAAATTAAGGAACAATTTAAGTAAAGGTGCAAAAAAAAAAAAAAAAAAAGCTTTCTATTCAATTGAATTTAACAGTAAGAGCTTAAGGCTTTGCTTGCGTTTTTTTGTGTGTGCAAAAAAAAATCCACATTTCCAGGTGTTTAATTCATATTTAATTAAATTCATTTAGAGATATCTCTAATTACAATTGTGACTAGTCAAAACTCATTTAGAGATATCTGCTCATATTTTTCAATGGAAGTCAATGGAGGAATAAGACTAGTCATAATATATTTGCAGATATCTCCAATCTGATTTCGTACTAGTACAATTGTAATTGCAGATATCTCTAATTGTCATTCTGACTAGTCGAATTATAATTATGACTAGTCAAAATATAATTAGAGATATCTCTAAATATATTTATGGATATTCAGAACAAAGGTTTAAATGCTAAAACGGCTTGCCATACGTGCGCGTCTATCAAAGTCCGGCCTCTGTAGTAACAGCTCACGGTCAGCTCACGTCATGTGTGATTTTGCGGCCGCCAATACATCATTATATGAAGACAGAATGTTATTTTATGGTGAATTGTACCTTATAAATACAGTATGTGACTCTTTCAACACCATTAGGAGGTATCCATGTCTCTGTGCAAAGTATGTAAATCACTGTGAAGACTTTAAAACTTAGGCTATGTTTGACCCAGTATGCGTGTCAAAAAGCGGACGAGTCTAAAGCAATGACTGTACAACCGAAATGTTGCCAGACGTCTGATTTTGAGAGGATGGGCTATCCTCTATTTCAGCTCCACTCATCTTGTCTGCTAACATTACTGCTGCTGCAATCTGAACTCACGTGCGACAGCAGGTGGAACGTAGCTCACGTGCAAACAGCTCAACTAATAAGAGAAAACGGACGTCATATCGTAATCAAATTGTCATAACGCCACGATGCATATTGAGACATTTTTGCATCGCAATAAATCGTACAACGATAAATCGTTACACCCCTAATAGCCAATCAAAAAAAATAAATAAATTCCTAAGGCGGCTAATAATATCAACATCACCAGTTTATACATTTAAAAATATATATATTTCCTCTTATTCCAGTACAACAACAACAAAAGACTTTTCCAGAAGACCAATATAATAGAAATACAGAGAATATATATTAAAATAATGATGTATTAATTCATTAACACATGTATTAATTTAATAATGATATATTAAAAGGATTTTTAAATTTCACAGAAGGGCAGACGCTGCTTTGACTGACTTCAAAGTTTGAAATGGACTGCATGAACACATTAAATGGACAGTTCACCAAAAAAACATAAGAGAAATGTTCATCATTTACTCAGATATTTTGAGGAATGTTGGAAACCTGTAAATATTGACTACTCTAATATTTGTTTTAGCTACTTTGCAAGTCAATATTCAACAGTTTCCAGCATTCTTCAAAATATCTTTTTTTGTGTTCGACAGAGCAAAAGGTAGAAAAAAAACAGACAGGATTTTCATTTTTGGGTGTACTATCCCTTTCATTTAATCTTAAAAAAATAAATAAAATAAAAACAATGAAACACACCTTGCTTTCTCTTTGCACACAACTACAGGCATCCTCCTATGAAAGTCTCCCTCCACACTGTCAAAAAGAGCTGTGAACATAAAAAAGGCTGTTTTATTCGGTGCATGTACTTTATTGTAAAAGCTTAAGCTGAGTTCAGCCTGCATGATTTTAGCCCTGATTTTGACTCGCCGACAGGTTGAGAAATCGCCAACAAATGCCTGAAATCACAGGCAAATCGGTGCTTGTTCACGTGAGTGACAATCACACAGTATAAACTATCAAGGATGCAATATGAGAGAATCGCAGAGTCGCCGACACACGCTAAATATCTGGAGCTGTCAGCGATTCAAATCATGCCGTGTGAATTGATTTCCGATTGAAAGTAACATTGGTGATTACCTATAGCCAATGAGAGAGCAGTATTACATAGTACAGGTATCAGCATGCCAGCTGGAGGTTGGGGGAGAAGTTAAAGCAGACTCGGGTACGGTTCACAGGTGAGCACCCGAGTTCAGAAGACGCGTTAACACTAGCTAAACGTACTGTACTATATGCTTATTTCACACGGCCGCCATTTTAAAGAACCAAAACGAGGCTGCGGTGGGAAGAAACCCGGAAGTATAGGACCAGCTGGTGCCGAGATTTCAAAATGCAGATATGGTGTAAACATCACTTTAATATTATACAGTAAGTGTTTGTATTTTGTCCCAAGTTGCAAAATTACTGGGTTACTTTCTTCAAAATTGTTTCAGATATCCTGGGGGTCAAGTTAGCTGTTTAATCGCAATCTTTGGTGTTCCCTCTCAGTGTCAACTTTTAAACCGGAGACACGCTGACATTGTGGCTTTTGCCTCTCTTCTCGCTAGGCGCAGAATACTTTTGTCTTGGACCTCCCCACAACCCCCCTCTATTTCATTATGGCTCAAAGATTTGGTCTTCTTTTTAAAACTTGAGAAAATTAAATACAATATCAGAGGTAGGGAAGAGCATTTTTTTGAAAAATGGCAACAATTTATTGCATTCTTTAATCACTTAAAAACCTTAGATGTGGATTGAGTGAAGGTACATGTGTATGTATGTATATGGTTTGTAATTGTAATTTTTTTAATATTATTTTTTTCTGTATTTGTATTTTATTTTATTTATTATTATTATTTTGTTTATTTTATTCATTTATTTATTCATTTGTAAATGTTGATTGTTTTAATTGGGGATTGTTTTGTTTTGTGGATTGTTATAAAATGTAAAATGCTATTTGCAAGAATAAAAATTCCATGACAAAAAAAAAAAAATATTATACAGTAAGTTTAATTTATACTGTTAAAAGCATATTAGGCATCAAACAACATCACAATCTCCTTAGGAGTGATATGCTCAAGTGTCCTCCTGGGCTTCAGTTCATGGCACTAGTTAAACACCGTGGGCACGCTTCCCTGCTTCAGCCTATGTAACCCGGTGAGTGATAAAACACTGCAGTGCTCTGCAGCACACCCTCGTGTTGTCTGTAATAGTGTTGTCAAGGTACTGAAGTTTGAAAACCGTCTATTTCCCTCTAACATGGAAGCGCTGCTGAGCGCGGATGACTCGACTGATCTTCACGGCTGCTTTGCGCTTCGGTCTCTGTGTATCTGTGTTTGCACTCAGTTTACCGCTCTTGAGACTGAAGCGCGAAGCAGCCGTGAAGATCAGTCGAGTCATCAAGCGGATCGCTCGTCTGTGTGTGTGCGCTCGGTAAACAGCGGAGCGTGAACTGATGACCTTCTCGGCCAATCACAATCATTTCTGTTGAGCACGTGAACACAATGGCAAATCAGCGCTGTTTAAGAAAACCATCAACAGTGCCTTAAATGTTAGCGGAATATTCATGTTTTTTCTTTTAATTCAGTATCATGACGAGTCTAATATAGTGAAAGAGTCAGTTTATTAACTTGAGTTTGAAAAATGGCATCTAAAACGCGTGTTTGGGAAAGAAAACGTTGGCTAACTAGTGCCATTTACCTTAGCTGAAAATGAGCTCTGATATGCCTTTTTATTATCCTGAGCTGCTGCTGCGCTGATGGTTGTGGGGAGTGGAGAACATGAGTCTGATTCCAGCGACGCTCCAGGGACAGACGAGTCTTCGCTGAGGCCATCTTCCAGCCTCAACCACGGCGAATGAAGCTCTGCACAAGACTCTTGGCCAGCGGAGAAATTAAAATGGTCGTGCCAAACAGAGTCTGGTTCTCTCAAGGTTTTTTTTCTTCACTCCCATCAGGTGAAGTTTTTTTTCCCTCTCCGCTGTCGCCACTGCCTCGCATGGTTCAGGATTGGTAGAGCTACCCATCGATGAATTGGCTCTTCAGTGTTTGAATTATTTCAGTAATAATTAAATCACACTGAACTGAGCTAAACTGAACTGAACTGAACTTAAACACTAAAACCTGAACCACACTGTTCCAGTTACTATGACCATTTATGTGAAGCTGCTTTGACACAATCTACATTGTAAAAGCGCTATACAAATAAAGCTGAATTGAATTGAATTGAATTATTTTCACCATTCATTCAGAAAGGACCTTCGGGTCACTCTGAAGGCGGAGAAATGATAAATTTGTGTCCCTTTCTCTTCGCTGATAAGATATATAGCCAGCTACACAACATTCCTATGTAACTCCCAATGATACTTCTGGGTTTCTTCCCACCGCAGCATTGATTTCGCTTTTAAAATGGCGGCTGCGTGAAATCAGTCTATGACGTCAAACGTACCCGGGTGCAGACGAAAAGTGCTAGTGTGAAAGCACCCTAAAAAAAAAAAGTTGAGGGGAGATTGTTAATTCTCTTCAAAAGCCAGGTGAGCAACACAAGTTTCTAAAGCTAAAGCTTTTTTTCCATTATGTAGTTAATAACAAAAGATATATTACGGGACCTCGCGTGTTGTCGCGTTTTTTTGGCTGTGAGACGTAGTTTGGACAAAGTTGTCTGTGATTCTTCCTATTGTAAAGTCATGCATTGTGAACTCTCCTGTCGCCGATCCATTCTACAGTGTAGACCAGGGTTTTACAAAGTCTAAGACAGTGGGCCTCCCTTTTGACACAACTTATCCATTGGCGCACCCCTCCTCCCAAACACGCACGCACGCACACACACGCACACACACACACACACATATATATATATATATATATATATATACATACAGTATATATAAAGACACAGACAGATGTCAGACTGTTAACTCACTTTTATCATCATTTATTTTATCATAATAACAAGTATTTTAATATAACTAATAAAACTAGGATGATGGTTCAATATGAATAGAACAGATCCAAGAACTGTCCATCCCAGTCAAAACAGTCGAAGTTTAGCGGGTCTCATGCTGTCATTAGCCAAAATATCTTGACAAACCACACATAAAGGTCGTGGTTCATTAGCTGGTCCTGTCCACGTAAATCATAAACTCAAATACTGATCATCATATCGTCGTCTTTTGGGTTTAAACCCTGAACTTGAAGGCTTTTGTAGCGAGGGGGCGTGGCCGAGAGCTGTGGGAACGGAGTGAGGCCACCGCTTAATAGTGGATACACCTGCGGTGCGCACCTGCCTCGGATCCCACGGAAGGAGCTCTGGATCATAAAAGGAGGAACAAGGGCAGAGGAAGCCGAGAGAGGACCGGACACGGACATATTTTACTTTTGCTTTCAGTTTGACAGCAGTCTCCGAGAGGAGCTGCCGTCCGTTTGTTTTGGTTTAGACGGAGCTACGGTCACTGTCATTAATAAACCACTTTAAAACTGCGTCGGTTCTCCGCCTCCTTCTTCCCGGCGGCCAAAGGGCCGTGAACTTCATTACAGCTTTGAATCGGGGGGGGTCTCAGAAACCGACCCATTGTATTAACAGGCATATACCTGTATTGGCGGGCTTGCCAAACAGAAGCGAATTCACAGCTATGGCCTTCTGGGTAAAAAAGGTTTTCTTATATTTGACGTATAATTTTTTTTTGCTTTGTTTAATTAAAACGTTTTAATATAATAAAAAATACATATAATAATAAAACTTAATAATTATATTTTTATTATATTATATTTTTTCCCGCTACATGCTCTGGCGCCCCCCAGGGGAGGTGCGCCTCACACTTTGAAAACCCCTGGTGTAGACACAGCACCGCCAGTACGCTAGCCCAGATAGTCATGCAGTGTGAAAACATCCGTGACTACTTTGAAAATCACGCAGTCTGAACTCGGCCTTGGAAAGAAGGCAAGATTGTGATCATACTAGTTATTAACTTGACCCCTTAAATGCCCCCAACATAAGAAAAAAAATATTATTTTCATATTTTTATGAAGGCTGTACGGATTTAAGGTACAACGGTTGTCCTTTGGAGCTATAAAACCATTTTTACTCCACAAAAACTACAGACAGACACGCAATAAAAATCTGCTGCTTTAACTTTTATAAAAAGTCTTTCAAAAGATTTTATACACTAATGCAGGTACTTTTACGTTAGAAAATACACCTTTTACTGAAGTCAAAAATGAGAGTTGTCCACTGAGTAAACATTGATGAAATAATATCAATAACAACAATAACACTGATGATGGAAAAACCCGGATACTCACAGAGATTGTGATAAAGATGAGGTTGTATCTTCATGCAAAATTGGTTTTAGGATTAAAATTAAATGTATCTGCTTAATTTTTTTAGGTCTGGTGAAGGCAGGACATTTGACCCGAAGGACAAATGCGGTATACAGAATTCTAAGACAACAGGGGGATTAAAACACTCACGAATCACACAAGGTATTGTTTTTAACCTTGCTTTTTTCATTTTTCAACTTACAGCTTTTAGAAAGATGCTCTTGAGCTGCAAGCAGGATATCAGGATGCTGGAACTGATGAGAGAGAGGGAGCAGAGAAAGCGTATTGAACAAACATCATAAGCAAAAATGCAATGGGTAAATCTCTAATACGCTTTAAACCTGCACACTAAAGAATGTACTTGACGTGAATTATTAATGTATATGACATGGTTTGCATCTTAGATATGATATTGTACACACAAATTAAGGCTCTGTGTCCCAATTCCAGAGATAATTCAATGTGTATCAGAGGTTTGAGTCAATAAATGCTTGAAGTGAGATATGAGGCTTAATAATTGATATATTATAGTGATTTGCTTCCTACAGTAACTGAAGGAGGTAAAGTTCACTACAAGACAAGTGTTTGAACAAGAAAATCATTTGTGCACTAAGATAACGCGCCTTCGAAAGCACTTTCTACTCACATGGGAAGGAAACTTGACATCAATGTTTACGTCAGAATCTTTGAAGCCAAATTTGGTGCTGGAAGACCCGTATAACCTGAACTGGCATTCTGCAGGGGAAAAGTCGATAAAATGTATTGAAGAATCATTAAAAAAAGGATTCAGTGAGCTTTAAAGTGCCCATTCAGATATCACATTGAACACAGTGCGTCATTTTGGCTGTGTTTGAATGCAAACATAGTTTCACAGTAAAAGTGGATGATATTAACTAAAATGAAAACCTTGATTAATTTAATAAGAAATAAAGATAACAATTACTTTATTTTCAGTAAAAAAATGGGATTATTTAACACCACGCGCAGTTTAAAAAGACAAGTGGAAAGTCCAAACATTTCCATAAATCACTGAATTCACATAAGGCTGTATATTTTTAAGGGATGTCATTAACAGGATAAAACAACAACAAAAACAACAACAATATTTTTACTGAGGCATCTGACCAATCAGAGAGGAGTAAATAGCAGAAATAGACCAATCAGAGCAGAGACATTCGACTAATTAGAGCAGATTAGAGCCATCTGACCAATCAGGGCAGTTTAGAGCCATCTGACCAATCAGAGCGGATTAGAGCCATCTGACTAATCAGAGCAAATTAGAGCCATCTGACCAATCAGAACAGATAAGAGCCATCTGACCAATCAGAGCGGATTAGAGCCATCTGACCAATCAGAGCAGATTAGAGCCATCTGACCAATCAGAGCAGATTAGAGCCATCTGACCAATCAGAGCAGAGTAAACCAATCTGACCAATCAGAGCAGATTACCAATCGGCCATCTGACCATTCTGACCATTCAGAGCACAGTAGATCCATCAGTTGAATCAGAGCAGAGATAGACCAATCAAAGCAGAGAGATCTGCTTAGAGCAGAGTAAAGCAATCTGACCAATCAGAGCTAACTAGAGCCATCAGACTAATCATAATAGAAGAGGGCCATCTGACCAATCAGAGCAGAGTAGGGCCATCCAACTAATTAGAGTGGAGTAAAGCCATCTGACCAGAGCGGAGTAGATCCATCTTATTAATAAGAACGGAGTAGAGCAATCTAACCAATCAAAGCGGAGACGAGCCATCTGACCAATCAGAGCAGAGTTAACTGACCAATCAGTGCATATTAGAGGCATCTGACCAATCAGTGCATATTAGAGGCATCTGACCAATCAGAGCAGAGTCAACTGACCAATCAGTGCATATTAGAGGCATCTGACCAATCAGAGCAGAGTTAACTGACCAATCAGTGCATATTAGAGGCATCGGACCAATCAGAGCAGAGTCAACTGACCAATCAGTGCATGTTAGAGCCATCAGACCAATCAGAGTCAACTGACCAATCAGAGCGGATCCATCTGGTCAATCAGAGAAGTGCAGCCTTCAGATCAATCAGAGCAGAGCCATCCGACCAATTAGAGCACAGCAGAGCCATCTGACAAATCAGAGCAGAGTCAGCCGACCCATCTGAGCACAGAAGAGCCATCTGACAAATCAGAGCAGATTAGAGCCATCCGACCAATCAGAGCAAAGTCCAGCCATCAGACTAATCAGAGCAGAGTCAGCCGACCCATTTGAGCACTGCAGAGCCATCTGACCAATCAGAGTGGAATAGATCCACCTGACCAATCTGAATGGAGCCATCTGACCAATCAGAGCAAAGTCCAGCCATCGGACCAATCAGAGCATAGTCTTCCAACTCATTTAAGCACAGCAGAGCCATCTGACCAATCAGAGCAGATTAGAGCCATCCGACCAATCAGAGCAGACCCTTGACTCTTTAAAGTCTTGGGCTGCGTCCGAAACGGCCTACTACTCAGTAGGTACTGCATTTGAATTTAAACGTACTCGGCCGTTAGAAAAGTACATTCTACACAGTATGAATGTGACAAGTTTGAATGGAATTCGGACGCACTACATCCGCCATTATGTCATGGTCACGTGACGTACCTGCGTCACTCCCATTCATGAATTCTCTCGCAGGGCATCATGGGATAGCGCAGCATGCATGGGATGCACACTCCAGAATCTCGCCAGATGTAGTAAGTCATCCAGGTACTTTTCACATACTGATTTTCAAATTCTAGGAATTCGGACACTACTCGGCTTGCAAACTGATTTTAGCGTACTATATAGCATGGAAGTACGCGGTTTCGGACGCAGTCTTGGTTTAGAAAGACCTGATCCTGCAACAAATTCTTACAGACAGAATTAAGCTGCGTCTGCAATGTATTTAATGAGAAAATTAAACTGTCCTGACCTTGGACCAACATAAACCTACTTGAGGAGACCTCCAGAACAAAGCAAGCAGAATAAAGGCAACGTTTAAAAATGCTGCTGTGCGGTTACACACCTGGAAGAACAGGATGAAGGACTTTTTCAATGAGTGCCAGAATATTTTGGCGTTGTTTTAAATCCTCATCATTTAAACCAAATTCAGTGACGATGCTTTCCAGTGCAGAGCTGACAGAAAGACAGTGTGGTTTAGCAGGAGGAGGGATGCTCAACAGCAGCGCCAGTTTCTGCAGTTCCTGTGAAGACCAGACACATTTCAGCCATAAACAACAAACAACAGAGCAGTTTTAGTTTAGTCTTGATCATCATCGTTACCTTGGCTTTCTTCCTGTGGGAGCGTTCTCTGATGTGACTGAGAGCTGGCGAGATGTCCTCACAAAACACCTTACATTTATCACATCTGAACTTCAGGCTGACGCTTGACTAATAAAACAAAAAACAACCAAGAATGAAGAAATCAATCAATGTGATCTCTGTAACATACACTCTTTCCTCTGTTTAACTGAATACTAATGAGAAAAAACTAGTGTAATGTGACACTGAGTACTGGAGTAATGCTACTGAAAATTCAGCTTTCAACATTCTAAAATATATAAAAATATTGAACCAATTTTTAATCTACTTTAATATTTATAATTAAGTTTTATTTATAAAAGTATTTCACAATATTGCCACTAAAGTGACTTCTTTAATAATTGTGTAAAAAAACATGCATAAATAAATAAATTAAAATAAATTAAAAATAAATAAATTAAATACATAAAATTAATTAATTAAAACAAATAAAGAAAAACAATCAAATAAATTTAAAAAGTAAAAACTAATTTTAAAACAAGTAAACAAAAATAATTAAATAAAAATTTATAAAAATTACAATTAATTAATTAAAATAAATAGAATAAATGAAAATAAATAAATGAAAATAAGTAAAATAAAATAAATTAATGAAAATAAATAAATAAAAATGAATACTAAATAAATTAATAAAATCAAGTAAAAAAAATATTTAAATTAAAAAAAATTATTTATTCATGAATAAAAATACAAAAATTAAAAAAATTATAAAAAATAAAAGTAAAAATAAATAAATTAAAATGAGTAAATATTAAATAAATAAAAACTATATATACATATATATATATATATATATATATATATATATATATATACACACACACACATATATATATATATATATATATATATACATACATATAATTTTTTAATTTTATTAATTAAATAAACAAATAAAAAGAAAAGAAAATATAAAAAGAAATAAATAGAAGAAATAGAAGAAATAAAAAAAAAAAAAAAATTTCAATTATAAAATACAATAAAAATACAAAATTAAATGAAAATATATAAATAAATAAAAACTAAAGCAAATAAAAATTTATTAATTAATTAAAATAAATAACATCCCGACACAATACTGTATAATTTGACAACAAATAAGTGTAGCATATTATTGTGATTACTGTAAACTACAAAAAAAACTGTTTAAATACTGGAGCTTTGACCATTTAAAATATATTAAAATAGCCAACAGATATTTAATATTCAAGAATATCTCACGTCGCCATATTATGAACTAAAGTGACTTATTTAAAAAAAAAAGTTTTTAGAAAAAAAACATCCCGACACTTTACTGCTTGTTTTGACAATAACTTGTAGCATATAGCATGGTAAATTTTTTAAGCTTCATGTAAAGATTATGGTACATTTACATTTAGTCATTTAGCAGATGCTTCTATCCAAAGCGACTTACAAATGAGGACAAGAAAGCAATTTACACAACTATATAAAAGAAAAAACTATGAGAGCAACAATGAATAAGTGCTGTAAGCAAGTTTCAGGTGTGTAAAGTCTAAGAAGGAAAGCATTAGTAATGTAGGTTTTTTTTACATAAATATATGCTGTTCCTAAAGCAGTGCCATGAGGGAATATCAACTTTGAATAAATACCTAACAGTTTAGTTTATGTCACACAAACCTCCTTGGGGTCACAATCGCTGCCTTCTGCTTCCAAACACAGCTGTAAAACGTCCCGTCTCGTGAGGCAGCTATCAATCAACACAAACCTGCTCTTGTCCCGCCAGCTCTGCGCTCCGTCTGACAGACAGACATGATGGAGACTGATATTAGCTGCACTTTTAAATACTTCTGTACATGTGATTTTTCAGGTTTTTATTTTTAATAAATCTTTAGCAATTTCAAAAACTCTTTTCACATTGTGATTATGGGGGATTGTGTGTAGAATGTTGAGGAAATCAATGAATTTAATCCATTTTGGAATAAAGCTGAAACATAAAAAATTTGGGAAAAGTGAAGCGAAAAGTGAAATACTGTCTGTACGCACTGTAGCTGTGACAAAACACTAGTGTGTGTGTTTTTATAAAAGAGGAGGAGCTACTATATGCCACACCCTCTTTTCAGGTTTAGTTAGCATAATAAACATCGAATAAAAAAAATGCACATTTCAAAGCACTTCACAGGACCTTTAATAGACTAAGGGTGTCACGATCCTCCAAATCCTCGATTCGATTACATTTTCGATTCTAAAGGCACGATTCGATTCGATTTTCGATTATGAATAATTAATTAATTAATGACCAATTAATTATTTGTAGCCTACCGTTTAAACTACCTGACCTGCATGGTCTTTGTTTTACCCATAAACAGATCATACAGTAAATGAATAAAGGCAAGTTACACATAATGACCACCTGTCAATCACTTTTTCTGCGGGACTCGTGAATAGGCAGTGATCTGTGTCCTTATAATGGCGTCGATAAAAAAGACGCACAACCAACAGGAACCAGCCAACAGTATCTGAGGTGTTCGCTAAAATGACGAAGTACAAGTGAGTGAAAGATTGAAGCAGTCCTCTGACTGCCTGGACCTGCTGTCTGGAGCGCATGGCTGTGTGTGCGTCTGTGTCTGTGTGGTCACGTGATGTGCATTTTCAGAGGTAGTGAGGAAGGAGGGCTGCTCAGAAATGCTACACGCCACTGTGGATGTCAAATCGTTGTCGTTCTAAAACGCCATTTAAAAACAAAGACAGTGTAAACAGGGCCTGAGTGTGTGCTTTTCGCGACCGGATTTGCAACGGGGGCGGGCGGAGAATCGCGATCTGCTGTCTATCGGACGAACCGTACGTAATACGTACATAGCAGAGCTTGCAAAATTGTGTTTTTTTTTGTCGACAACACGAACGTTGTCAACATAACTCACTGGAAATCCAAAATACCTCCACACCGGCGACTTCACTGAAAGAGGAGAGGGTTTAAGCTCTGTCGACGGGTCTCCTGCGTCTGCAGTTTAACAAGCACTTCAACAAGCCTGTTTTTTCCCGCTTGGCAAGCCAAGCTGACGTGACATGGGGGCGTGGCAGCATCGACGATTCTATTATTTGATTCGATAATCGAAATTAGGCATAAATTTAGATCGATTACGATTAAAAATTGAAATCGTGACACCTCTATAATTGACAGGTAATAAGCCAATAGTAAATAAAGTGACTTATCACAAACTAAAGTGTTTATCGTGTGTTTTACCGTGTTTCTGTCCATCTCGCGGCCGATCTCTCCAGTTCCTCCGGTCGGCAGGTGAACTCCTCTGCACTCGCTCTCTGTGGGACGGACTCTGACCAAACCCTGGACCTTCCGGAGAGCTGCAGGACAGAGACGCTTTGGCTCTTCTGTTGTTTTTGGGACTGTAAGTGTGTTCGTGGCTCATGTCGTCTCGTCCACGCGGACTCCTCCATCGCTCGGCTTCATCTGCTTCCCTCTGTCTCCGGTATCGCGGAGAGAACTTCCTGTTTCCTCGATCCGCCATCGTGGATCTGTTAGTACAGAGAGGAAGTTAGTCTGCATGGACCGGAAGCTGCGACCGTTTTTTGTTTCGTTTTGTGACGCAGTTCGTAGAGAAACTGGAGATTGAATGAGAAAGCAGTGGGCGTGGCTTGTTTTCTCTACTGCGAGCTGATTGGATGTAGTAAAGTAGGCATTTCATTCTGAAAGATGGGGAAAAGGGTTTGAGGTGAGTTATTACAGGCTGACAGACTCCTCCTCATTTCTGTTTGTAGTCAAACTGACAGCTGAAGGGGCGTGGTTAAGTATGTTGGCCATGCCCAACACCTCAGACAGACCTAATTTGAAAATTTAACTGAAAACAAACAGGAAGTGCATTTTCAGATTTCAATTAAAGACTACATGTTGAAAGGGCCAGGTATATCTGGCGTTCTGATTTGAAGCTGGTTTGATTGACAGCTGGGTGGCCCGCCCAGAAGACGTATATCATTTCCGTTCCTGTAGCCGGACACTGCAGTTCAATACAGTCTGGCTAACAGCTCAATACAGTGGCTTATTGTGTGTGCGTCATGAGAAGTAAGTGTTCATGCCTTCTGTCTGTGTGCTTCTGACACTTTACAGCTTATGGGTTTAGTGAGCAGGTTTAAGCTACCAGACCTTTTGCTTTGACAACAACTCTCAAATCAGTTTTAAAGAACGAAACGATTGTGGATCACTTCAAATTGTCAATAACCAAATCCAGCTTAGTAATTCCAAAACGACCACAGGTGTTCCATAACAGGACTTGACACTTGTAAACACTCGCTCCATCGGGCTCGCGGCTCTCAGCACCGCCCACACTCATCACTACTACCAAGCCGACCAATAACAGAGCTTGCGCTTAGCGTCATTACAACGTGTAGTTACATTTTTTGAGAGGTGCGCGTCGGCGTCAGCAACAGTAACGCCCTATTCACACGGGGCGTCAGCGTCAACGCTTCCCATTCACTTTGAATGGGTGACGTCAGGCGTTGCCGAACTGCATTGTGGATCCGTCGCCGCCGCTTCAGAAGCGTTCCTCGCTGCAGAAGTTGGGACCAGCTCAACTTTTCAAGCGCCGACGGAAGCGTCAGCCAATCAGATTGCTGTATGCAAATACACCAGCTCAGACAGTGGCCTATTGCTAAATGAATTTCATTGGCTGACGCTTCTATGACGATCGTTTCAGCTCCAACTTCAGACACGCCCTCTGTCAAGCGTTGACGCTGAAGCCCCGTGTGAATAGGGCGTGAGGGTGATCAAAGTGAATGGGAAGCGTTGACGCCCCGTGTGAATGGGGCGCAAGCTCTATGACTAGACGCAGAAGTGTATATATATAAGCCTTAACGTCAGAGAGGCGTGGCTAAAACTATTCTAGATGAAGTGTGACGTCAACAGAACAGGACCGCCACATTAAACGCGGAAGCAAATGCTCAAACTTTGATTGAAGATTACCAAACTACACTTACTTTTTCATTAAATTAACTTGCACATATTAATTGTTCACGTACAGAAGAACAAAATGCGCTAGCAAAATAAACGACGCACATTTTGATTTGAGACAGACTTTAATTTATTAATATCATGATGCTTTTATTACAAATTCACAAACATAAGGCCCGCTTTTTGCACATTTGCTGCAATAATTAACATAAAACCATGTCATTAACACTTGTATTTCAACAAATGGTGTCGTATTTAGATTCAACACTGAAACAAATAGCCTTATTAGTCCAAAGAATGAGCGAGATTACAGAAATTACAAACACAATTATGACCGTGACAGTGCAAATTATTTCCACGCATCAAATAAAGTCAAAACAGACTAGAAGATTCATTCGTGCATGCTTTTAAGTATTAAAATCCGATCACAACAATATGAGTGTGTGTGCAGCTTCTCCCGGAGGACAAAGAGCACTCGGGGCGTCACACATCACGGCAAACACCAACAAAATCAACACGACACGCGATGTGGATGTTTGAAAGCAGTTATAATCAACTCACCTGTGTTTGTTCTGTAATGCTTTATAAAACCGAACGCCACATTTCTGATCTCCGGGAGTTTGTTAGCAGCCGCACATGCAGGTGTCTGAACATGAGCTCATCTGACCTGAGCTCACTTCCGCCGGCTACACTTCTGTCAAATCATCGGGCCTTCATCAGAACACAGAATCGACGCAAATTAACCAGGCAACGTCAGCTCCTCATTCAACACAACTGATGTGAGGTTTTAATGCTATCATTTGTAACCGAAGAAAGTTGATATTTGATTATTAAATCGCTGTTATATTGAATACTGTGCGAAATTAGTTTGCACTTTGCACTTCCGGGTCCTACATGACGTCAAAATAAACATCCAAAGGAGATTTAAAGCGGCAGTGCTGAAGCATAATAAATAAATAATGATAATAAATACATAAATTAATTAATAAAGAGAGTGGCAGAGCTAAACTTAAAACCCTTTAGTGCACCTTTCCGTTTTCCTCGTTTTAATTATAGTATAGGCGACACGGTGGCTCAGTGGTTAGCACTGTCGCCTCACAGCAAGAAGGATATTATTTACTATCATCATGAAGGATAAAATAAACCAGTTATTAGAGATGAGTTATTAAAATTATTGTTTAGAAATGTACTGAAGAAATCCCTCTCTCTCTATATATGTGTGTGTGTGTGTGTGTACACATACATACACACACACACACACACACATATACATATATATATATATAGTTGAAGTCAGAATTACAGAATTATTAGCCCCTTTTTGTAATTGTCTTGCAGTTTCACCTTTGTTCTCATGATGTCAACAAATGGTATGTTTTACTGTTAAACTGTACTGTTTAAATATAAGATCAAAAATCAAAATCAAATAAAAAAAATAAAGCCAGTGCTTCTTTAAAAAACCTTGGATCACATGTTTTAAAATTTGTTGTCTTCAAATTCTTTTCTGTTTTCTTTTCTTCATCTTTTCTTCAAACAAGAAATAAAAATAAGTTTTAAAATAATGGATCGATTATTTTTATGACCGATACGTAATTTAATGAATTAAAAAAATATATATTTCAAAAAGATAAAAAAATATATATACTAATGTTAATGAACATTAAAAGGCTCAAAACAATTATTTAAAACTGATTAAAATAAAAAACTAAAATATTTTTTTTTTGAACATTGATGATTAAAATAAATTAAAAAAATAATACATATACACATATATATATATATATATATATATATATATATATATATATATATGAATGTATTAAAACCTAAATATTTTTAATATTTATAACATTTATTATCATTCACATGAAAAATGCTCAGTTTTAAGGCGTCTATCAATTAAAAACCCTACACAAGATATTACACATGGCAGACCCAGGGTTGCCAGATTTCCAAAACGCAACCAGCACATTGGCTAACTCAAAGTAGAGCGATGATAAATCCGACAAACACAAATTAAAACATTTGCTCACATTTTTTTATTGCAAATATGCTCTTACATATCCACATGATGGTTATTTTACCTACGTTACTACTCCAGATGAAAACACCACAGTGCTTTAGTAGTGTTGTACTGCCTTTTCACTCGTATCACAGTATTCGGTCCATTCTTACACGAATAACACACACATTTACATTAGTAAAACATGAAATCCAGTTACGATTTTTCGGGCAATAAGGCACACGAGAGTTTTAATAAAAGGGTCAGCTTACGTTTTTATACAAAGTAAGAATATTATGTAACAGTGACAACAATTAATATTGAATCGCTACAACTGGTTGCAAATAAAAAAGCAAATCTGTTAGTGTTAGTCCAGTCTAAAGGTGTCTTGGTTAAGAAACTACTGTGTGTAAAAAAAGGCCTTTAATTTACTGGTGATTCCTGAGGAAATCTTCCATGTAAGCAGCAAGAATCTTCACATCTTCAACAGTCACTGCATTGTACAAAGACGCACGAATGCCGCCGACTGACCTGAAAACACAGAGAAAACCAACCATGAGGCAGGGATATTCTCTATTGACAATAGGGCTGCACGATATTGGAAAAAATTGACATTGCGATATTTTTTTCCCTGCGATATATATTGCAATATTTTTTTTCCCTGCGATATATATTGCAATATTTTTTTTCCCTGCGATATATATTGCGATATTTTTTTCCCTGCGATATATATTGCGATATTTTTTCCCCCTGCGATATTTATTGCAATATTTTTTTCCCTGCGATATATATTGCTATATTTTTTTCCCCTGTGATATATATTGCGATATTTTTTTTCCCTGCGATATATATTGCTATATTTTTTCCCCTGCGATATATATTGCAATATTTTTTCCCCTGCGATATATATTGCAATATTTTTTTTCCCTGCGATATATATTGCGATATTTTTTCCCCCTGCGATATATATTGCAATATTTTTTCCCCTGCGATATATATTGCGATATTTTTTTCCCTGCGATATATATTGCGATATTTTTTTCCCTGCGATATATATTGCGATATTTTTTTCCCTGCGATATATATTGCAATATTTTTTTCCCTGCGATATATATTGCAATATTTTTTTTCCCTGCGATATATATTGCGATATTTTTTCCCCCTGCGATATATATTGAGATATTTTTTTCCCTGCGATATATATTGCAATATTTTTTTCCCTGCGATATATATTGCAATATTTTTTTCCCTGCGATATATATTGCAATATTTTTTTCCCTGCGATATATATTGCAATATTTTTTTCCCTGCGATATATATTGCGATATTTTTTCCCCCTGCGATATATATTGCAAGATTTTTTTCCCTGCGATATATATTGCAAGATTTTTTTCCCTGCGATATATATTGCAAGATTTTTTTCCCTGCGATATATATTGCGATATTTTTTCCCCCTGCGATATATATTGCAATATTTTTTTCCCTGCGATATATATTGCAAGATTTTTTTCCCTGCGATATATATTGCGATATTTTTTTCCCTGCGATATATATTGCGATATTTTTTCCCCTGCGATATATATTGCAATATTCTTAAGATATACTTTTGCACACATTACATACAGTATCACTGTTTTATCTGCTGCACCACTGACTGTAAGATTCTTCCACAAAGAACTAGAGCAAGTTTTTTTTTTGGCTGGTGGAGGACCAAGAATGACTCAGCAGCAGCCTCACTCTTACCTATTTGGGTGCCTAAATGTTAATAAGCGACGGGCATAGATTTATATATCTATGAGTGACGGGAAGCTATGCTAAGGTTAACTAGCTTAGCATATATCTTGCTGTCTGCAAATGACAGTAATTTAAACGTACCATAAAACTCCTATAAGTGCATACAATTCGACACAACTACACAAGCATCGTTTTAACCTTTATACCCGAACGTTAACGTTACTTTGTCAACATTCTATTGTCTTAATTAACGTGCTAACAGAGATAACTTATGTAAACAGAGAGCAACAGATTGTAGACGTCAATAATGCAGCATAATGGAATAATATACCGATCAAACTCCGCTTTAAGTACGCTACGAGTTCATAAAATGCCTCTGGAACTCAGTTCAGATACAAAAATTTATTTAACAAAAATAGTAATGCAGTAAAGTATTTTTCACTCTGCCAAGCCTTCTCTGTTGCTGTGTGGAGCAGCAGCCTACGTCAGTCACCTTTCACCCAGGCCCCACCCCACCCCGCCCCCCGACTCCTGAACGTCTGTCTCACTCACGCGGGCGTGCACTGCGGTCTCATGAGGAAACGCAGCTTTTTGATTTAATGTTTTTCTTGTTCTTGAATACAATAATTTTTTCAAATATTTGTTCGAAATAAGTATTGGTAAAAACCCGCTATTCGTGCTTATCCGAATACCATATTGGGTTCGGCCCCACCCATAATATATATATATATATATATAAGTTTTTTTTTTTTGCTTTGCATTGCACCTCCTGCGATGTGATTATCGTGGATGTGCACATTGCGATTTCGATGCTGAAACGATGGATCTTGCAGCCGTAATTGACAATGACTCATTCAAAACATCCTTACTCTGACATTTCATGTAAATATTGTGCAGGTGAAATGACAAATGCTTTCACATCCCTACATACACTCAGCACTTTATTAGGTACACCTGACAAGAATAAAGGAAGTGTGCTGCGCTGTATGTCGCTATGCAATCACTGGAACAGCTGCGTAATGTGCATGAGCGCTGCTGTTGATGTTGTTATAATAGTAATATTTAATAATATTGTGATAGTGCAGATTTGTGAAGTCGTACTGCTCTGGATAACTCGAAACAGCGACCACTAGTCTCTCCTCCATCTTTAAAAGTCAACATAGTCATCTTGACAACACAAACACTGCTGTCATCTCAAAGGAAACCCCGCCTCTGCTTTCATTTGATTGGAGGATGACTGATGTAGCTCGCTTTTTTACTCAAAGTTGACAATTTAGCATTACACTTCCATTAAGGCTTATTAAAATGTTGGTATTGAACAATAACTCTGAGAACTGATCAATTACAAGAACAAAGGTAACATTTCCTTCATTTGCATACTGCACCTGTGTCCTTTCAGAGAGATCATGCCCAGTTTGGATGCCCCGTCCAGGAATGACTTCTCAAGACTTTCATCTCCTTCCTTCTTTCCAATGCGGAAGGGAATATTCATGCGGCTTCGACACGCCGCATCAACTGGACATCTGAGAAAAATCAGCACATTACATCATCAGTGCTTCTTAACCACCAATAATCATTTAAATGTGCTAAAACCATTTACACTTGTTTTTCTAACTAGTATTAGCCTATTTTAACTGATGACATTTTAAAATGATCACTAACGAGTAGAATCCGTTGGAGCGGTTGATGATGTCATAGACGAGGGCTGATTTCTGTTTGTTTAGTCGCTCCATGGCATCTGCACCGCCATTGTTCCTGATCCACTCTAGAACCAAACCCATGATGTAAATACTGGAAGACAAAACAGCAGACTGTTAAGCTGTGTTAGTGATAGCTGCACATGTAAAAAAAAAATGCACATATAACGGTAAATCAGATCAGTGTGATTCTTAAAGTGACAGTGTGCTATATTCCTGCTGTCATATATGTTAATCCCTAATCAAATAATAAAGACAAGCTCCTGATAGTCCCACCCTAAACTACTTATAGTCCCACCCTAAATGACTGATAGCCCTGACCTAGAGGACTGATAGTCCCACCCTAAACTACTTATAGTCCCACCCTAAAGGACTGATAGCCCTGCCCTAGAGGACTGATAGCCCCACCCATAGAGGATTGATAGTCTAGTCACTAAATTACTCATAGTCCCACCCTAAAGGACTGATAGCCCCGCCCCTAGAGGACTGATAGTCCAGTCCCTACAATACTGATAGCTCCACCCTAAATGACTGATAGCCGCGATCCTAGATGACTGATAGCCCTGCCCTAAATTACTGATAGTCCCACCCTAAATGACTGATAGCCCCGCCCTAGAGGACTGATAGTCCCACCCTAAATGACTGATAGCCCCGCCCTAGAGGACTGATAGCCCCGCCCTAGAGGACTGATAGCCCCACCCTAAATGACTGATAGCCCCGCCCCTATAGCCCTGCCCTAGAGGACTGATAGTCCAGTCCCTAAAGGACTGATAGTCCCACCCTAAATGACTGATAGCCCCGCCCTAGAGGACTAATAGTCCCACCCTAAATGACTGATAGCCCCGTCCCTAGAGGAATGATAGCCCTCCCCTACCCTAAATTACTGATAATCCCACCCTAAATAACTGATAGTCCCGCCCAAAGAGGACTAATAGCACCACCGCCCTAGAGGACTGATAGCCCCACCCATAGAGGATTGATAGTCTAGTCACTAAATTACTCATAGTCCCACCCTAAAGGACTGATAGCCCCGCCCCTAGAGGACTGATAGTCCAGTCCCTACAATACTGATAGCCCCACCCTAAATGACTGATAGCCCCGTCCCTAGAGGAATGATAGCCCTCCCCTACCCTAAATTACTGATAATCCCACCCTAAATAACTGATAGTCCCGCCCAAAGAGGACTAATAGCACCACCCTAAACGACTGATAGCCCCATACTAAATGACTGATAGCCCCGCCCTAAATTACTGATATCCCCACCCCTATAGGACTCATAGCCCTGCCTTAAACTACTTATAGTCCCAGCCTAAATAACTGAGTCCCGCCCCTAGTGGATTAATAGCGCCACCCTAAAGGACTGATAGCCCCGCCCTAGAGGACTGATAGCCTCGCCCCTAGATGACTGGTAGTGCCACCACTAATTAACTAATAGTCCACCCCCAAAATAACTGATAGCCCCGCCCCTAGAGGACTAATAGCACCACCCTAAGTTACTGATAGCCCCACCCCTAGAGGACTGATAGCCCCGCCCAAAAGAACTGATAGCACCACCCTAGAGGACTGATAGCCCCGCCCCTAGAGGACTGATAGCCATGCCCTAATTTCTGATAGTCCCACCCTTAGACGACTGATAGCGCCACCCTAAAGGACTAATAGCCCCGCCCTAAATGACTGACAGCCCTGCAGTGAATGACTGATAGCCTTGAACTAAAGGACTGATATGCCAGCCCTAAAAGGAAAACCATGTGACCAGAAGTGAAGAAAGGAGCAGGGGGAGGGAATTTCACAGATTTCTGTTTCAGGACATAATATACAACATGGTTCTTGGCAGGTCTTCAATTTTGAAAGATGAACAACATCACATGACGTCTGCGTGTCTTAACCTTTTTCACACGACCACATTCCTAATGTAAATACAGTGGAGAGGAGAATGAGGAGCCGCACCTGAAGCATGGAGGCGTGTTGTAGAGCGAGTTATTGCCAGCCTGCACCTGATAGTCCAGAATAATTGGGCATTCCTTTAAAGCCTTGCCAATCAGATCCTCCCTGACAATGACAACCGTCACACCCGCGCAGCCCACATTCTTCTGCGCGCCTGCAAATATCAGACCAAACTGAAGACACACACTCACAGTTACTTAATGCCCACAATTAACAGTAAATAAGTGTAATATCCTGCATATTTTATAGTATTTACAAGTCTGTTAATGAATGCTAGATCATAAAGAAGCATCACTGACCTTTGACACGTCCACTGGTCTGGAGAGGAAGTTGGAGGACATATCGCTGACCAGAATCACTCCTTTGGTGTCCGGGATGAAGTTAAACTCCACGCCGTGCACGGTCTCATTGCAGCAGTAGTAAACGTAGGACGCAGAAGGATTCAGTGACCACGTGCTGCTGTCTGGTATTTCTGTAATGCAGAAAATAATGTTGGCTTCATAATTTAATAATCACTTGGGGCCTCATGTATCAACGCTGCGTACGCACAAAAACTTGGGTTTCACGCTCATGTTTGGATTTACTAAGGATGAAACGGACGTGAGAATGTGCGCTGGTCCACGCCAACTATATGTCTGGTGTGCGCGTGTTTATTGTGCGTGTCTGTTTTATTTCCATTGGCGACTCCTAGAGGCAGTTGTGTGAAATTGCACACTACAAAGTGAGCCGTGCAATGGCAGCTGTATGAGACGGGTTCATCCGCACGTCTAGCAGGTGTATAAGATTTCCATACCATGCAGTTGACCAGCCAAACATTAAAGCGCAATTTGCAGCGGTCGCCGGTTTTCACAATAGAATCGGAGCGATCTACTGCACGCACATTGCTATAAAGACACTATCTGAAGATGAATTTGCATATGCGAATCAAAAACATTTCCATTCAATAAATGTGCAAATAAAATATGATGCACAGACTTATTAATGATTCCTACTGGTCTTCCTCGTGATGAAGAGTAGGCAAAATCTGATATGTAGCGTGGGAAGAGATGAAAAATGAGTTCATTAGATGCTGGATTCGAACAGAGTTCATGCTCGAACGTGTCAAAACATATTGACATGCGTTTTACGAGCTGCGCCACTCACTCTGTTGAAGACACCACAAAATTTTACACCTTTACATCGCACTATTTCTTTTTTTATCCACTCAGTAGTGCGATGTTCAGATTTAACCGTGTTAACCGTATCAGCTAAACTCTCCCACTCAATTTTTTTCTGTTGTTATTAAATCCTGGAGGACAAACTTGCAAATAGCACAGTTTTTCTCCGGTTTACCTCAGAAAGCAGCACCTCAAATTCACATTCTGTTCAAAGTTTCTCTTCTTGCTTGCTTTTGCCGTTACTTTTTCGTTGGGTTTTGCCAAAGTAGAGTCATTAGCATATTCATACGGGGGAGGAGGCAGGGAGGGGTTTTGCGCTCGCGCATGTGCGCTCAGACTCACGTTCATTCGAATGTACAAAGAGAAAGTGTGTGGGATTCGGCGTACGCAGTGTTTCATCCATCAGAATTTTTCATTGCGTACGCACGGACACAATGTTTTAGTATGATTTCAACGCAAATCTTTGTACATTATGTTTTATTATTTTTGATTGCAGTTGACAAGCAGGAAAGTAATACAATAGCACGAAACAAAAGAGACTAGTCATAACAATATACAAAACATGTGAAACACACTTAATACACTGTAATATAGCCTGGTTCATTGGTTCGTTTGTTTTTCTCAGTACAACTGATCCGCTCAATCGAGCAGAGGCCACCTCATTCAGACAATCTCATACTGATTGATTTTGTGCGAACCCGAGCGCGATTGCGGGATTCACGTATGCCAGACGAACCGCACTAACTGCGCAAACGAGACCGGTTACTGGGCATGAAAGCACCCTGTATTTGCATGCAACTAACAAACAGTCACAGTCAAATTAAACTTTAGTGACAAGGCACCACTAGCCTGATAGGCACACCATCCTGTATACTGTCTCGAACATCCCGCACGCTGACCCTAGGCCAGCAGGCAGTCCTTATTGTCGAGCGCTGCTGTGGATACTTATTTCAAGGCCTCGAGAGATGTGCAGCACCATTATTGCGATCCTGTGAAAAAAAATGATGCCAAGGTCTCCATAATCCAGGAGCAGGCCGTATCCTTGTGGTCATGTAGGAGTGGAGAGCATGAGACTGATTCCTGAAAGACGCCAGTGACAGATGAGTCTCCGCATTGATCCTGTGGATCAGCCGGAACACCCGCCGGTGGCCTACTCACACCTGCAGCTTCTCCATGATGGACGTACAGTGTTCTCCAGCCTCCGGAGCCTAGTCTGCAGCTCTGCACAAGATGTTTAACCAGAGGAGAAATGGTCGTGCCTGAGCCTGGTTTCTCTCGAGGTTTTTTCATTTACTTTGCTGAAGTTTGTTCCTCTGCTGTCGCCACGGGCTTGCTTGGTTTGGGACCTGTGGAGCTGTGCATCGATGGATTTGCTCTTCAGTGTTTAGACTTTCAGCAGTGAATATTAAACCACACTGAACTGAACTGAAACAAATCATTGAATCAGTCATTCTGCGGTCTTTATTGGTTTCAAAAACACAGATTTCTTTATAAATACAGCATCTTTGGAGATCTTTTCTGCTTTTCTTACACATACCTTAGGAACGGTATAGAAGAAAATTGGCAGATTTAAAACCTTGACTTTTCCAAACCACGGTATACCTTAAAAATGATTATTGTCCCATGTCTATTCTCTATTTCCACCTATGGATACTCATCCCGAGGCCTCTAGAGATTGTGAAGCACCATTAAAGCAATCCAAGACCTGTGAAAAATGATGCTAAGGTCTCCATAATCCTGGACCAGGCCGTATCCTGAGCAGATGCTGTGGTGGTGATGGAGGAGTGGAGAGCATGAGACTGATTCCTGAAAGACTCCAGTGACCGACGAGTCTTTGCGTTGATCCTGTGGATCACCTTGCAGTGACCTACTCACACCTGCAGCTTCTCCGCAATGGACGTCCAGCGTTCTCCAGCCTCCGCTGCCTAGGATGCAGCTCTGCACAAGACGTTTAGCCAGAGGAGAAATGGTCATGCCTGAGCCTGGTTTCTCCCTTTTTTCCTTCACTTTGGTCAGTTGGGGAAGTTTGTTCCTCCTCTGTCACCAGAGGACTTGTGGAGCTGCTCATCGATGGATTTGCTCTTCAGTGTTTGGACTTTCAGCAGTGAATAATAAACCACACTGAACTGAACTGAACTGATCTCCAACTCTGAAAACTGGACTAACAGTTTCAATCTACTAGAACTTCTCTGTTAGGCTGCTTTGACACGATCTACATTATAAAAGCGCTAGAGAAATAAAGGTGAATTGAATTATTACTCACTGGTGTAACTGTCCAATTTCGGATGGATCACGTTGACTTTCCCATATTTCTCCGCCTCTTTAGCAGCTCTAGCAGACCAGGTGCCCGTGACCAGGTAATCAGCGCATCGTTCCTCCTTCAGCCCGATTAGATTGAGGGGAACCGCACTGAACTGACCAGAACCTCCACCTTGCAAGAACAGGATCTTATAGTTTTCAGGAACATTCCTGCTCAGAGTGAACAACCAATCAGAATTGAGATACAGAACATAAAGACAGCATCCTCCATATACAGACAGCTCACCAAAAATGATCATTCTGTAATTAATTACAGGCAGCACAGTGGCCCAGTGGCTAGCACTGTCGCCTCACAGCAAGAACGTCACTGGTTCTAGTCCTTACCAAGCCAGACGAAGTTTCTTTGAGGAGTTTACACGTTCTCCCCGTGCTCACGTGTGTTTCCCCCGGGCTTCCCGGTTTTCTCCCACAGTCCAAAAACATGCAACTTAAGTTAATTGACTAATCTAAATCGGCACTATAGACATGCTCCTAGTAAGTAGTTATCTCTTAAGAGCAATCACTATCTGTTCATTAGCTACTGCAGCAGGGGAGTTCTCCAGATCTACCTGAGCTCAAACTCCCCTCTCACCTTGCAAACGGGAGGGAGCCCCGGGCTCGAGGATCTTATGAGCTCAGGGCTCTCTCCCGGGACAGCATGCCAAACAAGCTTTATAATCAATCATCAGCTAAGTGTGAACTCTTGAAACAGGAACACTCACAGAAGTTCACGGATGAGGTTTTCAGTAGTGTTTATGATCTTGGTGAAGTCGGACGATCTGTGGCTCATTTCTAGATGTGGTGTTAAAGAGAAATAAACATTACAAAAAATATATGTGCATCTCACAAATGTTTATTCCGAGTCTGGGGTTTCTTACCAAGAATGCTGATCCCGGTGCCACTGTAATCCAGCAGCTCCTTCTGTGCTTGGAGTAAAACCTATAAAAGGACAGAATAATGATAATAAATGACATAGTATTTTTTTAAAAGGCACTAATATTTAGCTTTTAATCCCCATTAAAGGGATAGTTCACCCAAAAACTAAACATTCAGGCCTCTTACTTATTACTTTATTTCATTAAACACAAAAAAAAAGATATTTTGGAGAATTTTTAAAGCCTGTAACCATTGACTACAAAAGCTACTTATATTATATTAGAGGTGCAGAAGATGAAATATTCTGCTATTTTATTCATAACAAATCAAGACTTATTCACTCCATAAACATCTTTTTTTAAGATTTTCCTGGATTTAAAGTGATAGCTCATCCAAAAATGAAAATCTGCGTGAAAAGGCAATCTGTTTAAGTGTCTTTCTTATGTAGAACACAAAAGAAGATATTTTGAAGAATGTTGAAAACCTGTAATCATTGACTTCCATTGTATTTGTTTTTTCTACAACAAAAAAGTCAAATGGTCACAGCTTTCTAACATCCTACAAAATATCTTCGTTTGTGTTTAACAGAGGGGAAAAATTGTATGTCTAATGAGAAATTGCAAGCTACTTATATTGGGTTATAAGTAGGCCCACACGGAATCTGCGCGCGCAGAATTCCGCAGATTTCTGCAGATTTTTTAGCCCATTATTAATTCTGTGTATTTACTTGAGTTAATGTTTAAATCTGAATTTATTCAGTTTTTATTTAGTAATTTATTACTTTTTATTTAATAAATTAGGGTTTAGTTATGATACTCCGCTGGATACTCCCAAAGAAATCCGCAGATTTTTACCAAAATTCTCCGCAGAAATAGCAAAAAACGTCCGCAGAATCCGTCTGGCCTAAGTTATAGGCAAGAGATATTATAATGAGAGGTGCAGACGTTGAAATATTTGACTATTTCTTCCATAACAAATCAAGACTTCTTCACTCCATAAACAACTTCTCTAGGATCTTCCTGGATTTAAAGTGATAGCTCATCCAAAAATGAAAATCTGAGAGAAAAATTAACCCGTTTAGGTGTCTTTCTTCTGTTGAGCACAACAGAAGATATTTTGAAGAATGTTTAAAACCTGTGACCATTGACTTCTGTAGTATTTTTTCCTACTACGAAAGTCAAATGGTTACAGCTTTCTAACATTCTTCAAAATATCTTCTTTTGTGTATAACAGAAGAAGAAAAACTACATGTCTAATGAGAAATTGTACTTATATTAGGTTATAAGCAAATGATAATATAATGAGAGGTGCAGAAGATGAAATATTTGACTATTTCTTCCATAACAAATCAAGACTTCTTCACTCCTTACCAGGGCTGGAGTGGGACTCCTTTTCAGCCCTGGAGTTTCAAGCCTCAGACCGGCTCACCTCAGTTCACGACTGACTATATTAAAACAAGGTCATTTCCAAATCAGTTTATAATTATTATTTTTTTTTTTTTTAAGAAAACAGCTGCTCTAGAACTTAAATGTTCAACAACCCTAACAGTATCATATGTCTTAACAATAAATTTGAGAAAATAAAAAATTACTCAGACGAGGATCGAACCCGGGTCAGCCACTCCGTATGCTAGCGTGCAACCCACTTGACCACAACAGCAGTACACTGATTAGTGACTCATCTGAGTTATATCATCATTAACCTGCAGGCTGCGAGGTAATAGATAAAAAGAGCAGAGCTGCGGTAAAATAATGAATAAAAAGGCTGTGGTCAAGTAAATAAATTTAAAAAAATTTAAAAAGTGTGACTGCTGAGAGCAACAGATTCTGGAGCTAGGGACACCGGCCCTCGCGGCCAAAAAACATACCGGCCCACCGGGAATTCTCCCGGTCCTCCCGATTAGCCAATCCGGGCCTGCTCCTTACACATCTTCTCTAGGATTCTCCTGGATTTAAAGTGATAGTTCATCCAAAAATGAAAATCGGAGTTTCAAGAGTTCACACTTAGATATTGCTCAATAATAAAAGCAGGTTTGGCATGCAGTCCCGGGAGAGAACCCTGAGCTCGGAGATAATTGAGCCCAGGACTCCCGCCTGGTCAACGTGCATGTGAGGGGGTACGAGATCAGGAAGTTCTCGAAAGCTCCCCCTGGTAAAGGAGGAAAGAAGGAGATGGGGTGGATGGGGGGATTCTTCAAGAAACGAAGATGAGGGAGTCGTGTTAGTCAGGCTATTTATAGAGAGTTTGGAATAATCCGATTAGCTTACTAATGATTACAGATGAGGGACCAGCTGCGATCAATCATGTCACGTGCTCCTTTTAAAATTAGATTGTGAAACTTCACGAAAAAATAATCTGTTTAAGTGTTTTTCTTCTGTTGAGCACAAAAGAAGATATTTTGAAGTATGTTTAAAACCTGTAACCATTGACTTCTGTAGTAGTTTTTCCTCCTACGAAAGTCAAATAGAGCTTTCTAACATTCTTCAAAATATCTTCTGTTAAACAGAAGAAAATTTTATGTAATGAGAAATGGCAAGCTACTTATATTATATGAGGTTATAAGCAAATGATAATATAATAAGAGGTGCAGAAGGTGAAATATTCGGCTATTTTATTCATAACAAATCAAGACTTCTTCACTCCATAAACAACTTTTTCAGGATTTTCCTGGATTTAAAGTGATAGATCATCCAAAAATGAAAAAGGAATCTGTTTAGGTGTCTTTCTTCTGTTGAACACAAAAGAAGATATTTTGAAGAATGTTGGAAACCTGTAACCATTGACTTCTACAGTATTTGTTTTTCCTACTACGAAAGTCAAATGGTGCAGATTTCAAACATTCTTCAAAATATTTTCTTTTGTGTTTAACAGAACAAATCGTGTGGGAACCACTTAAAGGAAAGTAAATAGTGAGTAAATTTCCATTTAGGGGTGAGCTGTCCCTTTAAATGCTCTCAGATTTAATATATTATTCAATGTATTATTGAATTGAATGTTGACTTGGAGGACTTGGCACTCTTCAAAAGGCGAGTTGGCTCACTTGGCTGATGCAACATTGCACGCATACCGACCACTAAAAAGCACATCAATATAGTCTTTAAACTCCTGCATGGTGTTTAAAGCATTTTTACTTTACAGTATGACACAATATATGTGTGTATGCAGACTTTTCTTGCACACTAGTGGCTGTAACAGATGATGTAATCACACAACGCAGTGATGAAGATGATCTCGCTGCATTATTTAGGCATCTGTAAATACGATAACGCGTAGAAAAACAAAAATGTAATGAAGATATAATGTAAAAGAAGAAAAAAATATTATAAATGTTCAATATCTCACTATAATATTTCGAATAACAGTTTGTGGATGCAGATAACGTTACTTGTGGATGTACTTACCGACTGTGGGAGTTTAGCGGGTCCTGCCCCAAAATTAACGGTTTGTTTCTTCTCCATGTTGTAAATAAAACCGTCTCGTTCGTCCGTGAGATGTAAACCTTTCTGAATCTCCTCCACTTGACCTAGTTTTTCTGTCAGTGATTTCTTTCAACCCGCTTCTATTATTCCCCCTTTCCACATGATTGCACCTAATGTTGAAGTTCCCTGCTGGTTTTCATTGGCTGGCGGGATCCGAAAGTCAGCTTATCTGTTGTGTGATTGGATGATGTAAATGTGACGTCACTGTGATTGACGTTTATTTTACGACAGAAAATATTTGAGATTCTTTTCGGAGGATAAAAATTTCTCTTTGGAAAAACGTAAATGAATCTAAACTTAGCCTACCGCAGAAAAGTATTGAGAATAAATGGTTATAAAACAAAAATCTGTTCGCTGGCCCTCGTACATGTCAATGGTTTATGTATTAGTTCTATCAAAATAATAATAATAATAATAAACAAATAAAAAAGTTTTAATTTTCTCACTATAACATCGCTCCAAACCTAAATTTATATACATATAATGATACAGATATGAAGATATGCGTACTGTTGTGTTAATTTTATTGCTGCTATGGTAACACAACTATAAACAAGCAACCCTAATGCTATCCCATATACCACTATATACAACAGTTTACTTTATTGCGAACTGAAGCACACTAGCCTACAGTATTTTTTTTATCTATTACATTGAGCTAGTTATATAGACCATTTCAATGTGGTGATGTCATTGGCTCATAAGCATTTCCTGCTTGTTATCAACTATTTCATAACTGTAACAAGAGGCAATTCAATCACAACTTAATGTTAAAACAGCTGTCATAACATTGGTAATCAATATGTGGCTCTTTCTGGATTCTCGGAAGCTGTAGAAATTAAAAATGTAAAATAGGAAATACAGGACCGATGTTTTTGTTTACATCCCTCAAAATGGTCTTGTACGATAGCCTTCACAAAGTGTTGTAAATACTGTATAATAAATCTGCTTTACCAATATCTGTTACTTCAGCTTCTACACAATCTCAGTATATAAATAATCCGAGTTTGTTGAGTGTTTTCAGCAGGGGGCAGCATTAGATAAATTTCTCTCCCTGCAGTGAGATATTTTGACGCTAGATGCTAGATTTAAACCATCTGCAGACAATATGCACACACAGTCTATCTACGTTAGCATCTTGGGCTAACAAGCACAAAACGGTGGAAAATGTAAACTCTGTTAGTTAAACAGCAATTGATGTGTTCCCTGTCACACTTCAGCATTTAGATTAATAATGAATTCAGATTACCCTGCTGAAAAATCCAGTTTAAACCAGCCTAGATGGTTGGCTGGTTTTAGCTGGTCGACCAGGCTGGTTTTAGAGGGGTTTTGGCCACTTCCAGGCTGGTTTCCAGCCATTTCCAGCCTGGTCTTAGCTGGTCAGGCTGGGAGAAGACCAGCTTAAACCAGCTTGACCAGCCTAGCCAAGCTGGCAGTCCAGCCAAAACCAGCTATATCCAGTTTAAACCAGGCTGGTCAAGCTGGTTTTAGCTGGATTTGGCTGGTCATTTTCCAGCCTGACCAGCTACGACCAGGCTGGAAATGGCTGGAAACCAGCCTGGAAGTGGCCAAAACCCCTCCAAAACCAGCCTGGTCGACCAGCTAAAACCAGCCAACCAGCCTAGGCTGGTTTAAGCTAGATTTTCAGCAGGGTGTGAAATACACATCTGTTGTATATCATTCGACACAGTGGTTAGCACTGTCGCCTCACAGTAAGAAGGTCGCTGGTTCGATTCTCGGCTGGGTCAGTTGGTGTTTCTGTGTGGAGTTTGCATGTTCTCCCTGTGCTGGCGTGGGTTTCCTCCGGGTGCTCCGGTTTCCCCCACAGTCCAATCACATGCGCTATAGGGGAGTGGGTCATTCACCATTGGCCATAGTGTATGAGTGTGTGTGTGTGTGTGTGTGTGTGTGTGTGTGAATGTGAGAGTGTATAGGTGTTTCCCAGTACTGGGTTGCAGCTGGAAGGACATCCGCTGTGTAAAACATCCGCTGGAATAGTTGTCGGTTCATTCTGCTGTGGCGACCCTTGATAAATAAGGGACTGAGCGGAAGGAAAATGAATGAATGAATCATGTAGGCAGTTTCACGTGGAGCTGTAATCACGTTTAGTGGATGATCTGAACCACATGACTTCTTTTTAACATGGTTGTCTTAAAAGCTAATTAGCGAACACAGTTTTTAAGAGGTCAACATCAAATCAGACATTTCCAAGTACAGATAAGTACCTAAATTTAATATAAAATATCAATAGATTTTATTGAAATGTTTGAATCTTACAAGTGCAAAAACTATGTACACACACACACACACACACACACACACACACACACACACACACACACACAAAATGCCCTAATAAACAACACTTATCCATCAGATAAAGAAATTCCAGTCATTCTGTTATGGGACAAAAGTAAGATTCTCCAAGCTTAAGAGTAAAAATAAAAGCATTGATGACAGCACATGTAGGCACACCAGGATTAATTCCCACAATTATGAAAAATAAATTCAACATGCTAAACCAGGACTTTCAGCATTTCACAGAGACTGAACTCCAGGAAGACAACAACATATTTCAGAGCAGAAAAATGTTGCCAAAAACAAACTGTCCAATGACTTTCCACTCTCATTTGAAATAGTTACATCTCTTAAACATGCAAACTCATTCATGCATACGATCCCTGATATTATTACAAACACTTAATGGGACAGTACACCTAAACATGAACATTCTGTCATTGTTGACTCACTCATCCTGTGACTTTAATCTTCGACATACATAAAGATTTTTTTCTGATGATATTTAATGTCTGTGTAACTAAAACTTGCAACCTGCAAAAAGTAATCCATTTGAGGTTAGCTAACTTTTTTTTTTTATGTAAATCTTGTATAAAGTCAAAGTCTTTTCAGGTTAAATACTTTGTTGATGTATTCATTACCTTTTTAACTCAGTTTTGTTGGTAGTTTGTTGCTAATTAAGGGATGAATTTCTTTAAAGGCGCAGTATGTACGTTTGACACCCGGTGGATGAACTAGGTATTGCACTCGTAGATCAAAACAAACGCAAGTGCAGGTTGCCAGATTAAGGCCCAACAGCGAGTCTGACGATCGAGCCTGAAGGCTGATTTATGTCATGTTCTATATTAAAGCAGCGGCACACAATAGAAATAGTCTCCGTATTAAAAGTAGTTTTTGTTCTAACCAACACCTCGAATTGATATATTAGAAACGGCAGCTTCCATTTCTTGCAGCTCTACAACAGAAAACGTACAATGACCACCTCAGGTACACCTCATGTGCTTTATTCAGTGTTAAATACTAATAATGTGAGTTTGAATGCCATTTTGCATCACATTTATTGCCATACTACTGAAAGCAGCAGCAGATAGTTCACCTCAGATCTAGAAAATAAAACAAATCGCTTGAAATTGAACTTTAGAACTGTGAAATAATGCAAGCCAACACATATCAGTGCGTCAGCATCTACATTTAATCATGTTAAAGCGGTTTAATATGTATTAATTAGATTGTAAATCTTACCATTTAGTTGGAGTGCAGTGAGTGCACTATTGTGTGCTTCTCAATCGCTGTATTTAAATACAAGCATATTGCTTATCACTGTGTATTTCGTCATGAAGAGTGTTGTTAGGACATGGGGTTACAATGCAACCTGCTTACCTAATGTTTACATTCGTAATATTTATATTACTTGCTAATTAATAACCACCTTATGTGGAACTCTGAATCTGCATCTCATTTCGGAGGCTGCTACTGTCCACTGAAGGTCGCGTTTCGGTCAGGGGCGCATAGTTTGAGAGCTTTCCTGACTGAATGATTGAAATATACTGTTTTCCACCAAGGCAACCCGGGGTGCTGAAATATAATTGGCTAAACTGGCAGTGGGCGGGTTAAAATGACCAAAACAAAGACAGCTGTTCCGGCATGTCACTCACATTTTCAAAGCAGAATATCTGACTTTAGTATTGTTTTTCAGATAAACAAGAATGTTTACTCAGCATGTTTTTAAAATATCTGCAAATATATTATGGTATTTTATGCTTTAGAGGAGTCAAAAATGCAAAATGTGTACGCAAATAAAAATGCAAATAATAACTTTCCCTTTAAGATAGTTTTTTCCTTCATATATTAATTTTTATACTTTAATTTCACATTTTTGTTTCATAATGTAAATTTCCAAGCACGATTTCTAAATATTTCCCTTATATTTCCATGATTATGAACCTCGTTTTAAACCAAAACAGTATTTTTAAGTGATCTGTCCTTATTTTCATTTCATTTAATGTTTTAGTTTCACTTTTTTCCTTTTAAATTCATGATTTAATTTAATAAAATTTCATAATGTGAAATTATTTTAGAAATTATCATTATTTTAGGTATCAAAGACGAAAAAAAGCCTTCCGAGGTTGCAATGACATGAGGGTCAGCGAATAATAATGAGTAATACTGACTGAGCAGTATATCATTTAAGCAAACTTTCCTTTTAAGAGTGTTTTTTGTCTTCATATCTTAATTTTCATAATTTAATTTCACATTTTTGTTTCATAATGTAAATTTCCAAGCACAATTTCTGAATATTTCCCTTATATTTCCATGACTATGAACCTCGTTTTAAACCAAAACAGTATTTTTTAAGTGATCTGTCCTTATTTTCATTTCATTTAATGTTTTAGTTTCCCTTTTTTCCTTTTAAATTCATGATTTAATTTAATAAAATTTCATAATGTGATTTTACAAGCCTGTTGTTTCTCTGCAGAAAATATTTCCCTTACATCTCCATCTGTTTGTGAATATTCAGTGAAGAAACAGAAACAACTGAACATTTTATTTGACTAATTTAGAAATTATTATTATCTTAGGTTTCAGAGACGAAAAAAAGCCTTCCGGAGTTGCAATGACATGAGGGTCAGTGAATAATAATGAGTAATACTGACTGAATTGTATATCATTTAAGCAAACTTTCCTTTAGGAGTGTTTTTTTGTCTTCATATCTTAACTTTCATAATTTAATTTCACATTTTTGTTTCATAATGTAAATTTCCAAGCACAATTTCTGAATATTTCCCTTATATTTCCATGACTATGAACCTCGTTTTAAACCAGAACAGTATTGTTAGGTGAACTGTGCCTATTTTCATTCCATTTAATCTTTTAGTTTCACATTTTTAAAAATATTTGTTTCATGATTGAATATAATAATTTTCCATAATGTGATTTTCCGAGCCTGTTGTTTCTCTGCAAAAGTATTTCCCTCATTTTCCATCTGTTTGTGAATATTCAGTGGAGGAACAGAAACCTTAAAATGGTTGACATTTTGACTCATTTAGACATTGTATTTAAATAAAAATACTTTTGACAGAAATAATACTGACAGAACAGTATATAAACTTCCCCTTAAGAGTCTTTTTTACTTCATATATTAATTTTCATCATTTAATTTCACAATTTTGTTTCATAATGTAAAATTCCAAGCATTGAAATCACAATTATCAAATATTTCCCTTATATTTCCATGACTACATTTTCCTCCCATAATTCAGTGCTGCTATCTTGATAAAGTATATATAAGAGTCTTTTCCTGCTCAAAAATAACAATAATACTCATCATTAACACTGACTGAGAAGGAGGAACTGATTTTTCATGCTCTCTTTCACAGTAACTGATATCTGCAACGTTGACCACAGTACAGCGCTTGTATTGTTTGGCTGTAAATCAGCAGCAGCAGTTCCTCTCAGATCCTGTTTCAGAGGTGTTTCCCACTGTCTGTATAATGTGTATAATCCCCGTCGGCCTTTCCCTGCTTTACATCTCAAACTCTTCCCTGTTTCACATGTCACTTGTGCGTCTGATCTGAAACTCTTCAGCCTGCAGAAGGCTTCATGATGAAACTGGGCTTCACAGTAAAGCCAGCAGCAGGAGCACAAACACTTAAAGGGACAGTTCACCCGAGAAATATTCATTCTATTATGTTTGCCATTAGGGTGGCATGGAGAGAGGGAGGAACGCACAAGTCCCGTACTGCCCTTAATAAACGCACACCCTGATCTGACCCGGGACAGAAGATATAGGCACACAAAGTTGTTTTTATAGTGTTTTGGTGTGCAAAAGTGTTCTTGGAGCTTCATATGATTACAGTTGAACCACTGAAGTCACATTGAATGCTCTGACAATGTTTACGGACATACAACTGCAGTCTATAGAGGATGAGAGAGCTCCAGGATGTCATCTAAAATATCTTAAATTGGGTTCTGAAGATTTAATAACAAACATAATACAAATTTGAGCATTTAAATCGTGGTGAACTAACCCTTTGAGGGCTTTCATGCAAACCAGACCCTGAAATCTTAAAACAAACCAAACGCTCAGCTTTCATTTAGTAGTCCTTACTGCATGTGAACATCCTTAATGGCGTTTCAAACATAACAGCAACACAAACTGACCTTAAGTCCAACCACTGCATGAAGGATTGCATGCATATTTTGCTAGGAGAGTCAGTTGTTCTCCAGTGGCTCAATGTGCCGCTCGCAACGGGTTCGATTCCCTGTAAACGCAGTCACTGGAAAAACCTTTGAATGCATTGCAAGTGGCTGTGCTTTATGCAAGGAAGTACATACTCGTCTGTGCATCAGACAAAGTTAGTGAGAGACGCAGCTGAGTGTAAAGCGGCGTAGTTTGGTTTCTGTGAGCGCAGCAGAGGAGTCTGGGTGTTTGCGTCTCGTACGGTGCTGCTGCTCAGAGAGCGAAAGTGCTTTTGCGTCCAGCCGTAAACCAGGCAGTTCAACAGACCCTGAGACGCAGACGTGAAGGCCTGTGGAGGAAAAGCAACAAGGTTTATTAAGTGTATTACTGCAATATAAGCACAGCTGAAGTCAGAATTATTAGCCCCTCCTGTATGTTTTATTTTTACCAATTTCTGTTTAACGAAAAGAAGATTTTCTAAACACATTGCTAAACATAATAGTTTAAATAACTCAATGCTAATAACTTATTTATTTTATCTTTGCCATGATGACAGCACATAATAGGGCTGCATGATACTAGAAAAATTACACATTGCGCTATTCTTTTAATTCTGTGATATATATATATACATGTCACTCCGCTACTCATCCGTTTGCACTGGCTGCCAGTTGCTGCTCGCATCAAATTCAAAGCGATTTCTGGCTGCGCCCCTTCTTATCTGCTCTCACTTCTGCAGATTTATGTGGCCTCCAGAAACTTGCGTTCTGTGAATGAACGTCGCCTCGTGGTTCCATCCCAAAGAGGGAAGAAATCACTTTCCCGGACGCTCGCGTTCAATCTGCCCAGCTGGTGGAATGAACTCCCTAACTGCATCAGAACGGCAGAGTCACTCGCTGCTTTCAAGAAACGACTAAAAACTCAGCTATTTAGTCTTCACATCACTTCCTAATCTGCAATTGCCTCTCTGGATGTACCACTAACTGTACTCAAAAAAAAAAATAATAATAATAATAATTACTAATGCTTTCCTTCTTAGACTTTACAGACTTGAAACTTGCCTACAGCACTTATTCATTGTTGCTCTTATAGTTGTGTAAATTGCTTCCTTGTCCTCTTTTGTAAGTCGCTTTGGATAAAAGCGTCTGCTAAATGACTAAATGTAAATGTAAATATTGCGATGTAAATACAATTTCACTAGATGAGTTGAATAAATGTTTGTAAACAATCCATAATAAAAATGTAATTCAAGTTTATTTGTATAGCACTTGTGCACAAATAATAAGCATGATATTTATATTATTAAGCACAATATCTGTATAATAAACACTACATGATTAGACAATCTACATGCATAGATAAATTCAATAAAGAAAAATATGCTAATTAAATATACAGCGTTTATTGTTTTCCGAAGAGTCGAAATGTATTCAGGTAAGCAGTAATTAAATAATCCAAGGTAAGATAACACTGCATAGTCTTTTTTTTTTTCAAATCCATAAAATTAATCCTTATTAATTTTGTCAAAGTTACAAACGGTATATTTTCTTGAGCCTGAAAGCTTTTAAAACCCTCACACAGTCACAGGCCTCAAAACACACTTGCAAAATGATCAATTATAATCCAGGCGACATTGCGTATCGCAATGTGACTATTGCGAATGATCACATTGCGATATCGATGCTGAATAATATATTACTATAATATAATAATATAAACTTAGTGACATTAGTGACCTAGTGACATTTAAAGACTTAGCTAGGTTAACAAAGGTAATTAGGCAAGCCATTGTATAACAGTGGTTTGTTCTGTAGACAATCCAAAACAAATATTGCTTAAGGGGGCTAATAAAATTGTCCTTAAAATAGTTTTTAAAAAAATTAAAACTGTTTTTTTTCTAGCCAAAATAAAACAAATAAGACTTTCTCCAGAAGAAAAAATGTTATAGGAAATACTGTGAAAATTTCCTGAATCTGTTAAACATCTTTTGGGAAATATTTAAAAAAAATAAATAAATAAATAAAATCACAGGGCAAATAATTCTGATTTCAACTGTATATAACATTGCACATATAATTGCAAGGGCTTCTGTTTTGTAGCAGTTTTATGTATTTTGGCAGACCTGTAGGATGTAGAGGGCGACTCCCATCTTTCCCTCTATTACGTCCGGTTTCACCAACATCATGGTGGCCAGTAATAATGCTAAAAAAACAAACAAGAGATTAAATAATTGGATTAAACTGTTTTAACAAACTGATGATTTTATATATATATATATATATATATATATATATATATATATATATATATATATATATATATATATATATATATATATATATATATATATATGTGATATGTGTGTGTGTGTGTGTGTGTGTGTGTGTGTGTGTGTGTGTGTGTGTGTGTGTGTATTTTATCATAATTGAGTACACCCCATTTTGAAAATGAATATTTTTATCCATTTCTCAGTGAATATAGGTAATATATGGTGCATTTAAAAACAACAGATTTATTAAACAGATATATTTATTAAAATAATAATTTAGTCACTGAACATCTTTAGAAATAAAAAAATAATACGTTTAAATTCAAGCAAAAATATTGCAAAAAAAATTACACGTAAAATCAACCAAATTTTAATTTTTTTTTGTTTCACTTTGATTTCTGCTCTTTTAAAAAGATTTTTTTATATATATATATATATATATATATATATATATATATATATATATATATATATATATATTTATATAAATATATATATATATATATATATATATATATATATATATATATATTTATTTATTTATTTATATAAATATATATTGATTACCGATTACTATATCTTGATGACAGCACATAATATTTTATTTATTATTTTGCATTCATATTAGTAAGTATTCAATTTAAATGATATAATGGGCCGTATCATACACCCAGCACAATAAGGAGCAAGACATGTTTGGCGCAATGTGCAAGACCAGCGCAACCCTAGTTTTTTACATTTTGCGTCACGTTGTTTAAATAGCAAATCCATTTGCGCCGCTTTATGGACTCATGGGTGTGTCGGCCTAAAATAGAAGTGTGTTAAGGCATATTGTTGGTGTGTTGCTATTTTGAGGAACTGAAATAAACTGCGCAATACACCAGCTGGTCTAAAGTCCAGTGCAGAGCGTGTTAGTTATGCCCCTTAAATGCGTACACATTGCTAAATACACACAGGATAAATATCTTTATATATATAAAAACAATTAAAGGATTAAAATGTTACCAAAATGACTATTTTGTACATAAATATAAAAGCCACCGCCTCCATGCCTTCTTCATCTCGGGGGCTTTTTCAGTTTATTCATGACAATTTGCATCTGTATAATGTTATTATTCTTAGCAGTATTATTTATAATCTGCATCTTTATATTTGTTTTAATAAAAACAAGTTTAGATTTGTCCACCTGTGAGGTTTTGAAGACGTCTGCATCACCATATGAGGCATAAGAACAGGACGTGCGTTTGGATATAATGCATGTTAAGCTCAAAACACACCCAGAACTCATTAGGAGAACAAGCACAACCCTGTTAGACCATGCACCAGGACGCAGAGCTGATTTTTTCATCCTTAAAATAAGTTTAATTCATTTAATTAGGTAAGTCATTGGACGACAGTGATTTGTTCTGTAGAGAATAAAAACAAAAAAATATTACTATTATTATTTGTTTTCTTCTTTTTTTCTCACCTGGTCCCCAGCAGAAGAAGAAGGCCGATGGATAAAGCACCATTCGTCGCTCCAGGAGTCTCAGAGTTGTCCAATGACTGCCGCCAAAAAACCCCTGAGACGTGACAACACGCTTGTACAGAGAGCGCGCTTTACCCATGAAAATCTGAAACCAGCAGCAGGAATACAGCTACTTTATCAATGATTATCATTTATTAATATTCACGTACACTCCTGTACAAAACAATTGGGTTGATATGATTTTTATTGTTTGAAAACAAGAGTCTTACGCTTAAAAATACAATGAACACAAAAGAAGATATTTTGAAAAATGTTCTTCTAAGTAAGCTGAAAACCTGTAGCCATTGACTTCCATACTATGGAAGCCAACGGTTCCAGGTTTTCAGCTTTCTTCAAAACATATATTACACAAAACATTTGAGAGTGAATAAATAGTGAATAAAAGTTGATCTCAGGCTGAACTATCCCTTTAAATAAATACAGCCTTAAGTGAGCAGATGACATGTCTTTCAAAAACAATTAAAAACCTACCAACCCCAGACCTAACAGCAAGTATTTAAATCATAATTTGCTTTTCTAATTTAAAAAAAGCTGATGTGAAAGAGCGCTCACCGACATGCCGACGATAGTGATGAGGAAGGTGCCGAGGAAAATGGCCATGCAATATTCCTGAATGATGCTGCATGCTGTGAGCTCGGGCGATGCAGACGAAGTGAGATAAACAGCTCCGGTGTGCATCAGCAAGCATCTGCAACACAATAAGATGCATCAGATACACATCATCATAGTAAACAGCAGGTCATATATTCATTCATTCATTTTCCTTCGGCTGAGTCTCTATTTCAGAGGTCGCCACAGCGGAATGAACCACCAATTCCATCATATTCCAGCATATGTTTTACATAGTAGATGTACACTCACACACGCTCATACACTACAGCCAATTTAGATTATCCAGTTTCCCTATAGTGCATGTGTTTGGACTGTAGGGGAAACCAGAGCACCTGGAGGAAACCCACGCCAACACAGGGAGAACATGCAAACTCCACACAGATATGCCAACTGGCCCAGCTGGGACTCGAACCAACGACCTTCTTGCTGTGAGGCAACAGTACTAACCACTGAGCCACTGTCACCTCGGTAATGACAATTAATTAAAGAAATAATGATAGGTGCGAGAAACAGACTGACCTGTACGGCTGAGTGAAGTTTGTGTAACACTGAAACACATTTCCAGCCACAAACACCGGAGCTGTGAGCAGTAAAGGAAGAAGACTGTGGACAAATCAGGACAGACAATCAGACTAATAAATAAAACAACGTGATCTGCTAATATCAAACTTTCAGCTTCACTTTTGAAACATTGTATAAACCCAAATAAGTAAGATCCTAAATTGTGAGATAAAAACCGTCAGAAATAGCTACAGTGGGAGTTTTTAAGTAACAAAATGTCTCTAAATACACATAGAAACATCTACTTAATATATAAGATGTGTTATTATTCTCCAGGATAAAACTTTTAGTATAAAATACAGTGCTCAGCATATATGAATGCACCCCATTTTTAAATATAAATATTTTAATTCATTTCTTAATAAATATAGTTCCTATATGTTGGTGAATTTGAACAAAACAGATTTATTAAGCGGATAAATTTAATTAAATACCATTTTAATCACTGAACATCTTTAGAAATAGATAAAAAAATACATTTAAATTCAAGCTAAATATTGCGAAACAAAAGAAAAACTAGAAAATTTAGTCAAAATTTCAGATAGTTTTTGTTTCTCTTGATTTTTAAACATTTATATTTTATTTTTTCCTAACATACACATTCAGGCTACTAATTTTAGAACCGTTATCTTAAGTCATTTTGTTATAAGTTCCAGATTTGGCTTTAGTGCTGACTAAACTAATATATATGCACAAATATAATATTTTATAGCATCGTTTTAAAATATAGGTTTTCATCATTTATACGTACCCCTATATACATTTTTGGAGATCGTGAAATACGCCTCGGGGGCTACTTTTTTGCAGTTGTTTTTGCGAATCCACCAGAGGTCGCTGTGTACGCTTTTTCAGATCTCAAATTTCTCTCGCGAGTGCCATTCGTGCCTAAATCCACCAGAGGTCACTGCCTACTGACTGACCGACCGACTGAAGCCCCCGCCCACCCCCTTCCCAATCCAGAAAAAGAAAAACCCTTGCGGCTGCCTGATTTTCACCACATTTTCAGATTTTCCACGTTCTCACGCTGTTATTTACTTATTTATTTAATTTTTTGGCTTTTGTTTTATCTGCTTTCTAAAACCGTTCTTCGTGGTCAACTCCTCTCTGTGTCTCAAGTCTACCAACCAGAGATCCAGATCCGGTACCTCATTTTAACTATGCACCTCCGCCCCGCCCTGCTCTTCACTTTCTTCCGCAAATCCACCCCCTTCCCTCCCCGCTCTTCCTTTGGTAACATGCTGGATCCATTACCCCGATCTGTTCCGGGACCTCGCAATTTATAAATTCAGCACTGCTGCCAACATAAGCGACAAGCCAATGGGCAAACGTAACGGCGGAAAAGCTCTCCACACGGAGGTAAGCAGTCAGCTGGTAGCGCAAAAAGAAAAAAAAAGCCATTTGCGGCATCATACCGCCCCGTAGTGTTCATTTTAAAGACAAAAAACATCTCAGCCAGACATAGCTCTGGCTGCATAATTTGCGCTCTCCAGAAATGTAGACGGGGGTGCGTTTTCACAATGAGCCTGTGTTGGATTTGTGATATTCTGAACACTGTATATGCTATTGTTACTAGTTTAAAAAGTATATTTACATGTGTTTTTTTGTTTCTTTTTCTATTACAGTATGTCACGCTAACAGTCTCAGTGCTATAGTTTTATTTCAGTTAGTATGCTCAATCCTCTTACCATGACAGAACTGGACCCAGACATCTGCAGTTTCTAGTTCTTGCAGCCTGAAATAAAGAGTAAGGTCAGTGTTTCCAGCATTAACAGTAAACAGTATCGACTCACTGTCATCATGAACATGCTAATAATGTTCAATATCATTCACCTCAGCTGGAAATCCATTGAGTCTCCTGTGATATTTCCCGTTCAGGCCGGTGTACAGCACCCAAACATAGTGCAGCGTGTAGAAGAAGGAGGCCATATACAGCGTCTGGGGGAAGAGAAAGTCAAACACAGAGCTGACCGGAGTTCAACTGACTGCATTTACAGATCACATCCACTTTCTGAACTCTATAGAGACTGAAACAGCGTTCGCAGATATCTCTATCATATTCTCATATTACTGTTAGGCTGTTTCAGTGCTTTCTAGCCTTCAGAAAGCCTGACTTCTCCATATGTCATACACTAACTGAACATATATAATAGATTAGATTTATTAAATGCAAAATAACTGAACTTTAAAAGGCTTTTTGTTCCACTTTAGTACTATTCACTTCATAATTGCTCATATTAACTCTGAAATAAGGATGAGGGTTTCTGCAGGTTTCTTCAAGTCGAATGTAGGACTTTTTAAGATAACGCAGCTTTACTTGGAGATAGGAAAATTAAAAGCTGTATAAAATTATTTTAGACCTACAACTAGGCTTGGTCAATATAGAGGTACTGTGCGCGTGCTTTAGTATGTTAGTCAACAACACATAATTAAGTGCACTTGCAGAAAACATACACTAGGGCTGCTCGATTATGGGAAAAATCATAATCACGATTAATTTGGTCATAATTGTAAATCACGATTATTCGAACCGATTATCGGTGTAAGTCAAAATTAGTCGCCCTTCTGTGAATTTGTTTATTTATAAATATTTCCCAAATGATGTTTAACACAAAGGAATTTTTCACAGTATTTCTTCTGATATTTTTTTCTTCTGGAGAAAGGCTTATTTGTTTTATTTCGGCTAGAATTAAAGCAGGTTTAAATATTTTTGAAAGCTTTTTTAAGGTCAATATTATTCGCCCCCTTAAGCAATATATATTTTTGATTGTCTGCTGAAGAAACTACTGTTATACAATGACTTGCCTAGTTACATTAATTAAGCCTTTGAATGTCACTTATTAGAAATGAGTTATTAAATCTGTTATGTTTTAACTCTGCTTTAAGCATCTTCAAAAAAACTTTAGCTACAAAAGTCCTTCAGTCAAGAGCAGTGAGGGATTTTCTCCTTTTGTCGTTTGATTAATAGTAAAAACAGGCGGCAGCAGGAATATTGGGCACTGTCACTTTAAAAATAGTGCGGCTCTAATATGGTTTCTGTTTCACGTGTCTTTTGATTCTCAACTTATTTGTTTATTGCACACACGGGGTTAATATGAATAATCACAAAACACCGCGCTCTGACACAAATGTGCATGTATTTGACCATTAAAGCGCTCACATTAAGATGGAGTTAGATGTGTGTGCTCTGCTCGTTTCCGAGCCTGTCCGAAGCTGAGCGCGGTGCGCACACACACAAAACCATAGTCTCTTTCGCGCTTTTAAAAATATGAATAATTCGAATGTACATTAATGAATGATGCGCATCCCGTGCTACAAAAGTTACATTACACTCACTTATGATGCAATAATCGTTTATCTCGATTAATGGCTTTTCATAGCCGTTAGATGCCAAAATCGAAATCAAAACTGGATTTTCGATTAATTGCACAGCCCTAACATACACTGCAAAAACATTCTTGCTAACTTAACTTTTTTAGTTGAATCAAATGAACTTTTCTAGTCATCTGAACTTACATCAATCAAACTGATCAAACTAAAATGAGCTAAAATGAAACCTGATTCATTCATTCGTTCATTTTCCTTCGGCTTAGTCCCTTTATTCATCAGGGGTCACCACAGCAGAATGAACCGCCAACTATTCCAGCTTATGTTTACACAGCGGATTCCCTTCCAGCTGCAACCCAGTACTGGGAAACATCCATACACACTCATTCACTACAAACAATTCAGTGTTTTCAATTCCCCTACAGTGCATGTGTTTGGCACCCGGAGGAAACCCACGCCAACACAGGGAGAACATGCAAACTCCACACAAAAATGCCAACCGGCCTAGCTGGGACTTGAACCAGTGACCTTCTTGCTGTGAGGCGACAGTGCTAACCACTGATTAGTCGCCCCTAAACCTGATTAAACCAACATCAAAATATGTGTTGTCTTGACTTTTTTTTGTCATGAATTTCATTTACATTGTATCTTAAATTAAACAGTGCTACAAAGTGCTCTTTAAGACACAACCACCAAGGTACACTCTTTTATTTCATTAATAATAAACTTTATTAAATGATCTGCAAGTAGTTTTTTCTTTTGAAATATACTATCATCAGCAGGTTTGGAAATCCCAGTCTAACAGCACGTTTGTAGGCGTTCAGGTTGGATTATTGCAGAGCCGCTGAATGACATTCCTGGATTGAGCAACTTCTGTATGTTAAAGATAGCAAATCTCTCTGTCAAGAAAGGCCTAACTACAGAAACCTGCGTCTCCTTTCTGTTTTGCCTTGAGCTCAGCTGATTGAAAAAGGTGAATTGGTATGAGTTATATTTGATTAGGGTGTGTGTTAGTGATGTTAACAGTGTACAGTAACTATGCACACAGTTTGCACAATGAAAAACGTCAGCAGGCTAAAGTAGAGCACTGTGTCATATTTATTATATCTCCATTTACACTGTGAGTCAAATATAAAGAGTATTAGTATACCACACTATTTGCTTGTTCTGCTATGGGAGTCAATGGTAACCGGTTTTCAGCATTCTTCAAAATATCTTCTTTGTGTTTTTTAACACTTGACGGAGTGTAAAAAGTGAGTGCATTTTCATTTTTTTTAGGTAAACTGTCCCTTTAAGCTCCTAAAATGACAGTATTTTTAAACATGAGAGGGAAAAATAGTAGGAAAATATAACCTTTTGTTTGTTTTACAAAAGCAAAGGTAGTTTGAGCCCCAGCTGGGCCAGTTGGCATTTCAGTGTGGAGTTTGCATGTTCTCCCCGTGTTGGCGTGGGTTTCCTCCACAGCCCGAACACATGCGCTATAGCAGGGGTGGCCAACCCTGTTCCTGGAGAGCCACCTTCCTGCAGATTTCAGTTGCTACCCATAGCAAACACACCTGAACCAATTAATTAAGACCTGAACACCACATGATAATTACAGGCAGGTTGGTTTTAATATGGGTTGCAACTGAAATCTGCAGGAAGGTGGCTCTCCAGGAACAGGGTTGGCCACACCTGGCTATAGGGAAACTGGATGAACTAAATTGCCCGTAGAGTACGAGTGTGAATGTGAGTGTGCATGGGTGTTTCCCAGTACTGGGCTGCGGCTGGAAGGGCATCTGCTGCATAAAACATATGTCGAAATAGTTGGCGGTTCATTCGGCTGTGGGGACCCCTGATAAATAAAGGACTAAGCTGAATGAATAAATGTTATTATATACATATTGTTATTATTATTATTTTTAATTACTTAGAAATGTAATTATAATCCATATTGTATCCGTTGTTAGAAGGCTTTGGCAATACTGCAATAAAATGTGTGACAAAATGAATGATAATATAAATAATTTTGTGTTTAGTCAGTGTGGTGTGTGTAAGGCTGTAAAATGGAGTGACTCAGTCAATCTCGCACGATCTCCGGCTGGATTTTCCAAACTTGGGGCGTTTTCTCTGCCCTGAGGAATAATTACCCGTTTCCAGAAATTAAAAACAGCCCACTGAACAGCAGGAGATCAAAACGCTGAAGTCACTGCTGTGTTATTTGCACAAACTGAGAAAATAGGATCATTTACTCCAGAGTGGTACTATAGGTATAGATTACTATAGATTTTACTTTGTGTCAAGAATGCATGCAGTTTTGTTTTTGCAACAGGGAAAAAATTATATTTTTATTTTAAAGATTCTTTAAAAGTTGTCAATATAAATTAGTAATATGAAATGATTTAATATTCAAATTAACTGTGATTAATTGCAAATAAAATAATTACAAAAAATACTACAAAAAATCTAAGCTAAAATATTAACACATAAATCTGTATTTATATACAATTTGAATATTTTATATCTAAATATTTGATATAAAATCTATATTTTTTTTCAATTGTACAGCTTGCTTTATTTTATAGAGCTTAAAAAGTCACCACATTTTTATGAACTTATTTTTATAATACCTATTGTGACGACCCCAGGACTTCAGTATGGATGTGGCAGATCCTGATTGGGTGCCTGGTTGTCACCAATTGGCTCAAACCATATAAAAGGGTTTTGAGTGCTAGCTTCTGGAGGACGGTGTGGCTACGGGCCGTCTTCGTGTTAAGATCATCTCTTCATTTCTGCAACCTTATGGTTTTGTTTAGCATTATTTATTTGTGTAGTTAAAGTAGTTATTTTCTTTATTTTTCCTCTAGACGTTTGTTTGTTGATTTGTTGTTCTATTTAGTTTTATGTATAATAAATAAGTTGCATATACATTCTTTTGTTGTCCGAACTCTTTTATGTTGCGACTCAAACGAGGGGGTCGTAACACTATATACTAGATATGTTAAGAAACATCGGATAGCACAGTAAATAGAAAATAGCATTTGTAATGTACAGTACTCCCCATTTTGAAAATGAATATTGTTCTTCATTTCCCAGTGAAAATAGTCAGTGTCTTTTGGTGCATTTAAAAAATACATAAACAGATATATTTAATAAAATAATATTTTAGTCACCAAATATATTTACAAATAGAAAGATAATACAATTGTCGGCGCAAAAGCCTGACATATGCTGACATACGGTGCAGTAGCACAGAAGAGCATCCCGAGTTCGAATCCCGGCTCGAGGACATTTCCCAAACCCGACCCCCCTCTCTCTCCTACTTCACTTCCTGTCCTATCTAATACTGTTCTAATAAATAAAGGCCAAAAATAAATCTTAATAAAAAAGGGAAAAAAAAGAAAGATAATACAATTTAATTCAAGCTAAATATTGCAAAAAAAATTAGAACCTACAAAATTTAAACAAATTTTTTACTTTTTTTATTTTTTGATTCTCTTGATTATTCCTCTTTTTTAAATGTGTATTTAATTTTTTCTATAAGATATAAATTTAGCTGTGCTGGTTTTTGGACAGCTATCGTAAGTTATTTTGTTAGATTTGCTCCAAATTTGGCTTCAGCACTGACTAATCTAATGTATATGCACAATTAATAAAATAAAAATTAAAGTTAATAAAAGTCACTTTTTCAAACTTTTCAAGGTTTAAAATTGTTGGAAGAAAGATCAAGATCCCATAATGCAGTTCAAAAGCATAAATAAAGAGGAAAAATAAAAACATGCATCACAAAATAGGGAAAACTGCTCATTTTTGCAGCTCTAATCTAATTGAAACCTATTTAGTCTGATGAAGAAAAAGTGTTTATAAACAACATCGAGTGAACTTTGAGCTGTGACGTTCACTCACACCCTCATGTGTAATTTTCATAAGTGGAGCAGAAGTAATCATATCTGGACAAAGAATATGAACCAAATTTGCTGCTCCACTTCCTTCTCAGATTTTGTCCCACTTCTGTGTTTTGTTTGGTGCTGGCTTTAATATCTGGTCTCAGAACAGCTTGTTTTTGTTTCTGCAGAGAAACCTTTGTGCGTTCCTTCTCTGTGATTTTGAGGCTAAATGTGAAACAAGCATACTTGAGTAATGAGAGACACATGTTTGAGCCTGCAGAGCTCTGGCAGATCCAGATCACACTGCTGCTAAAATAGATTCAGCATGCACACTTTACAAGCCGATCCAAAACAATCTTTTGTTGTCTTAGGACTTTCCATTTATTAACAGCATTGTCATTTTAAGAAATTAAAGGAAAGTACCATCCTGAATGCTTGCAGTTTTCATGGTGGTACATGCATGCTCAAACCTGATTTCAAAGAGTGTTTATTCTTATTATATTTATTTTAATTTCTACATTTACTATCATTCATTCATTCATTTTCTTATCAGCTTAGTCCCTTTATTAATCCGGGGTTGCCACAGCGGAATAAACCGCCAACTTATCCAGCAAGTTTTTTACGCATCGGATGCCCTTCCAGCCGCAACCCATCTCTGGGAAACATCCACACACACATTCACACACACTCATACACTACGGACAATTTAGCCTACCCAATTCACCTGTACCACATGTCTTTGGACTGTGGGGGAAACCGGAGCAAACCCTCACGAGCGCAGGGAGAACATGCAAACTCCACACAGAAACGCCAACTGAGCAGAGCCGAGGTTCGAACCAGTGACCCAGCGACCTTCTTGCTGTGAGGCGACAGCACTACCTACTGCGCCACCATTTTATTTATATATATTGAGGGCAAATATATACGAGTTGAGGGCTAATAATGAGGGATTAATAATTCAGACTTATAAATAATATATATATATATATATATATATATATATATATATATATATATATATATATATATATGCAACAGTTCTGTCTGGTTCTCGAATGTGGTCGGCCGATAGCAGTGTTATATTCTTCAATAACAGCACTCGTAAGGCCTCTTCACCTTTGTGTATTACTCCGCCCACATAGAGTGACAGCAGATCAATAAACTCACTACAGTTTGACAAATATTGCAGCTAATGGACAACATCATGTACTTTTGAGGCTTTTTTTTAGACGAGAATGTAGTTGTTTAGATTGCAGTCTGTTTATAAGGATAGTACCTATTTCAAAATATTTTTTAATTTCTGAGAGACAGCGCGTCAGCATCCATTATCCTAAGACGGTTGACGTTGTCTATCCATAAGATGGCGCCAGGACCGCATAATAAGCCCTTGCTTAGATTAAAACTGCGTGTTTTCTGTTACAGCTGATCAAATCATTATTAAAGAGACCCCACCCCCGAATACCCATTCCTTATCGCAAACACAACAGCAGTCTGGTAGTGATTGCGCTGCTTTTTTCGGGGTTAATCATTGTGATATTCCAATTGTAACAGAGAAATACTGTAGACTGTAACACTGTAAGAAGATATCTCTGTAGACTGATGGCATTTCATGCAGTTCAGCCTTATAATCTTAAAATGTGAGCAAAATCAGCCGTTTTTGTCTTCCCTTTAGACATTACGCTAGAGAATCATTCAAACACTAGCTCTGAAGTGACGTTGGTGAAGAAGCAATGGTTTCTGCTGTCCTGACGTCAGCTGCAGATGTGAATGAATGGTGGAAGAAAGTAGTTCCTCATACAAAAGGATTTTTTAAGACTCTCCGTGTTTGATTTTTTTTTTTTAATACGCATGATTATGCAGTCGAACTGTTATATAAACTGCTACTTGTGTGATAATACTCATATATACATATATTTTTTTTTTATTGGCCATTAATAAATGTATTTTATTTTATTTATTTATTGATTATAAATGGAGCTGAGCCAACATGAACTAACAATGTACTTTAAATACACTTTATTTTTAGTAAGTAACCAACAAACTAAATGAAAATACTCATAATAATTTATCGACCGTGGTTAATGTTAATTTTCTATATTCACTACACATTATTTTGAATAAATATATATTTTGTTAATTCTTTATTAATTGATAATTTGTTCATAATATTTAAATAGAGCTGAGCCAACAATATACATTTATTACACTGTATGCATTTTTAATAATTAACATTACTATAAATGGAATTATGTAAATTGTAAAATGCATCAAAATATGTAATGTACAAATATAACTTTAATACAAACACAGAACATACATTATACTATTTAATAATATGACACACTGTATTAATAATAATAAAAATACTGTAATAAATACGTTGCCCACTGTTTTGTTTTGTAAGTAAAAATTGATTTTCAGTGTAATGTTTCTGAACCCGCAGATGTGAACACGCAACAATCAATCAAACATGACTTCTGTCTGCGCAATGTGGTTTTATTAGTGGAAGTGGAATAGTGATATGAAAGCATGACGTGTAAATGGATGTACTTTTTCTTTGCCTGAGATTTTAGCATTATTTCTGGATGATATATTGAATGTTTTGTACCTGTTCCACAATGTGAAGGTTGTAGCATGTAGCGTAAGAGTTGCAGGACTGGGTGAACAGCAGTCCTCCACAAAGCCAGCTCAATGCTAACAGCAGGTCTGTCAAACTCAACAGGAACAGCGGTAGAACCTGCAACAAACGTTGTATTTCTCTCCTCAAAAAGTTCAATATATAGCTATATTAGACATATATAGACAGCATAATGCATAGTCTCACCTCTGGCTTCTTCACTAGTCTTTGAAAAGCTGCGTACAGGATGATGGAGCCAGCACCTAAGATGCTGAAGGCAAAATCATATAAATAATTATACATATAAAACTACTCATGCTTAAGAATTTATTAAGACTGTGATTAAATTTACCTGTGCGCTACAGATTTTATTGCACATCTTCTAGCCAAACAGAATCAACATTTTTAAAAGACCATGGTATACATAAGTGTGCAAGTTCCTACAAAAAGCATTGCCAGGTCTACCATTTTCTGCTGAATTGGCCTAATTTGCCGGTGCTGGGTTTTTTTTATTACGTATATTATTATATTCATTATTTTGATTTGGTGGGGTTGAAATATTTTACTTTACCAAAATTTATTTTCTGCATATGATAAAAAACTGTGCTATGATGATGGACTTTTGCAAGTTGCAAGGGATGTTTTAGTTTCCGCGGCAGCAGATTGGGATAATTTGATTAACAAAATAATTTTATCGAATTTCTTAAATGTTAATTAAAAATTTTTTAATCATCTTTAATTTAAAATACATTTAAAAAGTTTGGGATGAACTTCTGCCGGAGCTGTTCTGAAATTGACAGCATACGTTACATTTTTAAAGTCGGCGTGAAATGGAAGTAGCTGAGACTTTTATTTCAGTGTGTCGATGGACTTCCAACTGAAACTGAATATTGAGTAGGGGCGGAGCTTTCGCTTTGTGCATCGTAGCAAACTAGTGATAAAATGGGCGAGGTTACTGACATCAACAAAGAAGGATCGGCTCCAAATGTAGAAGTAAATGGTCAGACTTTGATGGTACATTACCGAAACAAACATTGATTTTCAGCAGATTAACTTGTCCTAAATAATTGTTCACCTAACAAATAACAATGTGCGCTAGTAAAATAGACACAGTCAATTTTGATTTCACACTGACTTTAAGTAGATAGCACGATAGTACACAGCTTAACATGACAGAAAATGCTACCGTTAGCTGTGATGTCAGTCCTAAGGTTAGATAATTTTTTAAGACAACATAATCTTTATTATTAATAATATACAGTGGTTTTAAAGAAGAACCAGTGTTTACGAATACAGTGATGTAAAATTAACTTGTAAAGATTATTTGTTAACCTATCAAATAACAATGTGCGCTAGCAAAATAGACTTAGGCTGTGTCCGAAGTTGCATACTTCCATACTATACAATACGCTAAATTCAGTATGCGACCCGAGTAGTATGTCCGAATTCATAGAATTCGCAAATCAGTATGCGAGAAGTACCTGGATGACTTACTACTTCTGGCGAGATTCTAAAGTGCGCATCCCATGCACGCTGCGCTATCCCATGATGCCCCGCAAGACAATTTATAAATGGGAGTGAAGCATCACAAGTGATGCAGGTAGGTCACGTGGCCGTGACAAAATGGCGGATGTAGTACTGTATAGAACATACTTTTCTAATGGCCGAATAGTACGTTTAAATTCAGATGCAGTACCTACTGAGTACTAGGTGGTTTCGGATGCAGCTATAGTAAATTTTGATTTCACGCTGACTTTAAGTAGATAGCACGATAGTACGCAGCATCACATGACAGAAAATGCTAATGCAGTTTGTGTTATTTTAACTTATATTGGGTTATCCCAACTTAAAGGGGTGAACAATATATCGAGCATCGATATCGCAATGTTTGTATCCACCACATTGCAGGATTAGTTTATTTATTAAAAATAAAAATATAAATATATTATTAAATAATATTTTAATACTATATATATATATATATATATATATATATATATATATATATATATATATATATACACACACACACACACATGCATATATAATTAATACTATATAAAATTTATTTATACAGTGATGACCAGATTATTTTACGTTTGATTGTTCAATTAAACGTTAATTTTTTTTTACTTAACTGCCGTTACAGTTAAATTTAAAAATTCAACGGTCAATTGAACAATTAAACGTAAAATAATCTGGTCATCATTAGATTATTTATTAAATTAAAAAAAAAAAAAAAAAAAAAAAAAAAAAAAATATATATATATATATATATATATATATATATATATATATATATATATATATATATATATATAATTTTTATTATATTATATATAATATTTATACACTGATGATGACCAGATTATTTTACGTTTGATCGTTCAATTAACCGTTAAAATTTTTATTTAACGGCAGTTAAATAAAAATTTTTAACGGATAATTGATTCAAATCCTTTACCTCAGGACAGCCATTGTCATTTGAATCCATCGAACTATAGAGTATACCTACAGTAAAGACAAGAAAACAGAGGAAAACATGTGTATTTGGTCTATATATTTGTTTATTTTTAGCATACACAACATTAAAAGTGAGATAAGAATGTTAATGACTTTATGACATGACCCAGTTATGAAGTGACTGGAAATATCTCACGTTACAGAAGACGGTGATTCATTTACTTTCCACAAATCAAATCAAAATAACATCATCACTGAAATATCCGTCAATAACTGCGATCATTTTGTCATTTTAAAAAGATAAAGCACGTCTTCAAGAGTGCCTGCAGAATAGTTTAACCATGAGAAATGCATAATTAAACTGTGAAAATCACTTACAGATGTCCAGTTTTCAGTCGGAGTAGTGGTGTTCATCTGTGTTTTATTTTCGCCAAAAATATCCATATTGTATTGTAATGTAATGTGTTCTTAGATATTAATTTAAACTCAACTCCAGTTTATATTCCTCTCGAAATCAGTCCTCAAGTAACACCAGCAAATGATTGAAATACATAAATAGAGAGATTTGCTACCAAGACATCTCAAAGTAATCCTTTCACGACACAAACATGAAACAAAACATGCTTGCGCTTTCGAGAGTAATATAAAGGCTGCCCCGCCCACTTTATCTTACAGCCCTTCTGATTGGTTATGTGCTAATTACGTCACATATGCGTCATATTTCAATGTATATTCGGCGGCTCAAAGCGACTGAACTGAAGCACAGACTGGCGCATTGTTTTGGGGTCTCACGAGGACGTCCTGTTTCTGACAGAAAATTGTCCCTTTTGCCAAATTATGCGTGAATACGTTGTGTTAACTGTCACGGTGATTATAAACAGCTTGTTAAACATCAAAGTCTAAGTAGGGGTCTAAACTCTCGATATGACCCCTGTCCTAAAATGTGAGAGCAATCTGTGTATGAAGAACCAACTGATACTGTGACAAATGAGTCATTAATGAGCCTGAAATAATATTAGACTAATATCTGCTGTGTAAATCACATGCAATTTTATTCTAAACATATTATAACAGCATACTTTGTGTTGTGTCATGGTATATCATTCACTTTTGACACATTTTATTCAATAAAATTAGTTATATTTCCCAGTATTGGGTTGCGACTTGAAAGGCAAACATATAATCATATGCTTGAATAGTTAGTGGTTCATTCTACTGTGGCGATCCCTGATAAATAAGGAACTAAGCTAAAGAAAAATGTATGAAATTTGTTACATTTATCTAAATTTGGGATGATTTTCGGCTTGTTAATCACTAAATAAAGTCTTAGTAGGGGGTCTGTAAACTCGATTTGACCCCTGTCCTATAATGTGAGAGCAATCTGTGTATGTTTGTTGTATGAAGAACCAATTTATACTCATAAATGAGCCTGAAATAATATTAGACTAATATCTGCTGTTAAATTATATGCAGTTTTATTCTAAACATATTATAACAGCATACTTTGTGTTGTGTTATTGTAATAGCACTTTTATAATTAATTTTCGATAAATTTTATCTAATAAAATTAGTTTTATTTCCCATGGGTTGCGATTTAAAAGGCAAATAAACATATGCTGGAATAGTTGGTGGTTCATTCCACTGTGGCGATCCCTGATAAATAAGGAACTAAGCTGAACAAAAATTAATGAAATTTGTTACATTTATCTAAATTTGTGATGATTATCGGCTTGTTAAACAGCAAGGGGTCTTTAAACTCTTAATATGACCCCGGTCCTAAAATATGATAGCAATCTGTGTATGTTTGTTGTATGAAGAACCAATTATTACTGTGGCAAATTAGTCAATAATGAGCTTGAAATAATATTAGACATTTTTTTTCTAATAAAATTAGTTATATTTCCCAGTATTGGGTTGCGACTTGAAAGGCAAACATATAAACATATGCTTGAATAGTTAGTGGTTCATTCTACTGTGGCGATCCCTGATAAATAAGGAACTAAGCTAAAGAAAAATGTATGAAATTTGTTACATTTATCTAAATTTGTGATGATTATCGGCTTGTTAATCACTAAATAAAGTCTTAGTCGGGGGTCTGTAAACTCGATTTGACCCCTGTCCTAAAATGAGGGCGCAATCTGTGTATGTTCGTTGTATGAAGAACCAATTGAGCCTGAAATAATATTAGATTAATATCTGCTGTTAAATTACATGTAATTTTATTCTAAACATATTATAACAGCATACTTTGTGCTGTGTCATTGAAATAAAACTTCTATCATTCATTTGTGATATATTTTACCTAATAAAATGCTATTGCCCAGTGCTGGGTTGCAGCTGGAAGGGCATCCACTATGCAAAACATTTGCTGGTATAGTTGGCGGTTCATTCCAATGTGGCGTCCCCTGATGAAAAATGCATTAAGCCAAAGAAAACTGAACGAATAAAAGAAATCACCTTTAATAATTGCTTTATGAAGCTTTAGATGAGGGAGCATAATGAGAAAATGCTCATGTTTTGAGTGAACTGTCCCTTTAAGTAGCAGACTTATCATTATGTAAGTTGCAGATTAATAGTGGCAGTTCCCATACAATCAACACGTGACGGTTTGGGTTGTGATTGCGTCATTACATTCCTCTGCCTGCTCGCTGTCCATTAACACACAACCTGCTCCATTCATGCCAGCCCTCTGACCGAGCTGCAGAACATTCATGCAGTATGGAGAAGAGATATGGACGCATTGTAAACAGTGAGGGGGGAAATGTTTGCACATATACAAGTACTAATATAAATAAATATCTAAATGACATTAAATAAATAAGTAATAATATAAAATCCAAGCATTGAAACACTATTAGTGACCAAATAAATGAAGATAGCAGCTACCCATCACTGTTTTCAAGCAATTTTTATATACTTTTATTTATTTGCGCACTTTTTTGATGTTTGTAATAATACAGCAAAACGATATAACTCACAACTTGTTGTGAAAATAGCTTATTATAGCATTCAGAATATTGTCAACAGTAAAAACTGATTAAAAATAGAGCTGCACGATTAAACAAAGGCGTATGTCAAGTGCAGTTTGTCAGTAAAGCCAGTTTTGTAATCAGAAGTAAATCTGGAGCACCTGCTTTCAGATGGAGCAGCATTTACGACACATGCTGCATTCCAATTCCAAACCAGGCTCATTCTGAAAACGTAGTCCTGCGGACGTTTCTGGAGACTTATTATGTAGCCGGAGGTACGTATGGCTGCATTTCATTTTTTAAGCGATCGCTACGGGGTGGTGTGACACCGTTCGATTACCTCCGTGTGGAGGGCTTTCCCGCTGCAACCAGTTTGTCCGGTTAACTCGTCGCGTACGTCAGCAGACTTGAGACGCAGAGAGGAGCTGACCACAACAACGACCGGGTTCGAGTCTGGGGAAGAGCGGTTTCAGAAATCAAGTAAGACAAAAACAGAATCCAAAAAATAAAGTGAACGAGTTCATAACAGAGTGAGAATGTGGTAAAATCCGAAAACGTCGTACAAATCAGACGAGGGCTTTTCTTTTTTTGGACGGCTTTTTTATTTTTGTAAATTGTTGGTTGGGTTTAGGGAAGTAAGCGAGCGGGTCAATCGGTAAAACTGCTTGGGTTTAGGGAAGGAGGAGGAGGGTGGGTCGGCCGATTGCCCGGTCGCCCAGTCAATCATTCAGCCAGTTAGATGGACGATCGTTCGACAGCGGCCTCGTGTGGGTTTACGCGAGAACGGCACTCGCGAGAGACATTTGAGATGTGAAAACGCGCACAGCGGCCTCTCACGGATTCGGGAAAACAAACACTGCACAAATACATACCTCCCAGGACATATTTCACGGTCTCCAGAAACGTCCGCGGGACTATATTCTCAGAATGAGCCTGGGTTGTCCAATTCGCATTCTACTACACCCTAAATGTATATAGGGAAAAACATTGTCTGGTCACAGTGTTTAGAGTCAAAACGATTAGCCCTCGTGGAAGTAATTATTGATCAAATATTTCCCAAGTGATGTTAAAGGAGAGATATTTTCAACACATTTTTTAAATATGATAGACTTAATAACTAATTTCTTTTGTCTTTGTCATGATGACAGCACATAATATTTGACTAGATATTTTGCAAGATACTAGTATTCAGCTTAAAATGCAATTTAAAGGCTCGACTAGGTTAATGTAGGTTAGGTGTTGTCCTAAGAAAAAGGTAAAAATAAATAAATAAATACATTTTGCTTTTAATCCAGCCAAATTAATATAAATAAGTCTTTCTCCAGGAATAAAAATGTTTAAATACGGTGAAAAAATGCTTGCTCTGCATTTGGGAAATATTAAAAAAAATAGTTAATATTACAAATGTCAAAATTATGTGAGATTTTTCTTAACAAAAAAGCCAAACAAGATTATTTTTCTTACACATTGGCTTATTTTAAGAAAAACAAACTCACTTAATTTTGGCATATTATTTCATAAAACCAGACAATATTTTGTGCTCATCTTGAAAATGCTTCTTGATTTAATATTTTTTAGATATCTAGAAACAAGACAAAAACTCTAAGACAAGCGTTTTTCGCAGTGTGAAAGACTTCATAGGTCTGCCAAAATAGTTCGTTTTCAGTTTTTCATTTATATTAAAATGTTTCATTAATGCAATACACATATATTTCTATAACAGTAATGATGATGAAGATGTTTCAGACTAATGCAGTACTCATTATTGCAAAGCAGTGAATCAAAAACAGATGTATGAAATGTCAATATAAAACCCCCCTGTTCTCTCTTCCCTTTTTTAGTTTCCTTTTAAATGCCTTCATGGACTGTTATGATACCAATTTACATGTAAACCTATGAGAGATCTTTATCGGTAAATTAGCAGTTTTCCATATTTTTAAAAAGTTTTTATTTATGTATTATTGGATCTTTCTCTCAACAACTTTTAACCTTTAAAAAAGTGACTTTTATGAACATGTTTAATAGTTTGCAGTGCTATATTGTCTGGGTTGGTGTTGTATATTACCCTACAAACACCTTGTGATAAACTGTCCGTACATTTTCTGATATTATACAGACTTATTTCCATATTGTAAAATAAAACAATATTGGGAAGTATATAAGTATATATATATAGTTTAAAGTTAAATTATTAGCCTTATTAATTAAATTTAAATTATTTTTCAAAGATTTCACAAATTAATTTTTTTTTACAATATCTTCTATTTTCTTTTAGACAAAGTCTTTTAGATCAGCTGGAATACTAAAAAAATATTTCTAAAAATATATAAAATTGCTGATGTTAATATTATTAGCCCTTTTAGAAACATTATTTTTACAACTGTCCACAGAACAAACCACTTGAAGTCAAAATTATTAGCCCCCTTCGAATTTTTTTCTTCTTCTTTTAAGTATTTCCTAAATGATGTTTACTCAATTAATTTAGTTCAGTCAACTTATTAGGGTTTTCAGTGTACTGTAATAACTGTAACCCAACCCGCTCTTTAAGATCAAAACTCAGGGCTTCTGGTAGTACCCAGAATAGAAAACTCCACTAAAGGAGGTCGAGCCTTCTCATTTATG